CCTTGCATCTCCCCTATTCAGCTGTATGCTGCTTTGAAAATATTATTCAAAAGAACACGATCATAGTTTCAACTTCTCAGGCACCCCTCTGACACCATGCTTGTTTCGCCTCAGCATCCTACAGAGTAGGGTGATGTTAAACAGGAGTGCCCTCCAAGGGTAAAGGATTGGGATCCATAAACTCGAATCTTTTAGCATCCCCATTAGATTGGAGCATTTGACTTAATTCCTGTCTCAATGCGTCTCCTCCGGATCCCCCTACAGTAATACGTCTGGACGAGCTTTTTCTGTAGTGAGAAAATTCCCGTTTCGTTGTCGGCGAGGGAGATAACTCGTAATTCGTGATAAACAGATCGCTCGCCCTCCGTAGTTCTTGAGCGATTTTTACGGCTTCTCGAGTCAGTGGCTCCGAATGTGAGCGGGAGCGTCTCCCATCGAGTTCTTCAGCTTGCAAATGGTGAATTCTCCTTTCTTCGATAAATGTGGGTACAGACTGTGTGTAGTGAATTGGCCGGTGGGAATTTGAACTTGATCGGGAGCCAAGTTCACTAGGAGTTCCTTCGGTAGAAGTCATTGAGCCGTTTTGTAGCATTCACTCAAACACCTTCCACAATATTTTCCGTTCACGTTTGAAGTCAACGCTGTTGCAGTTTCCTTGTTTTCAGAAGACAAATTAAGATTTTCGTATATGGGGCGAAATCCTTGCTTTTCTGTAATAAATTGTTTACAGAAATAGGTATATTATGCAAGAAGCCAATACAATGTGCTGATCGGGCGATTTGAATGAAACCTCACATTGAGCGAATTATTTTACAACTTGAATAGAAAAAAGCCTACCTCGAATTTAAGTCCACTCCCATGTGATGCAGCTGCGAGATTTCTATGGCAGTCCACGACCAGTCTTGAACACGACTTCTGTCACGAAAAGACACATTTTTCCTGAATAGCAACAGTGAAAACTCAGGTTTATTTTTGTACTTAAAGCGATGATGTCATTTTGACCAATCAAAAAACGGCAGAAAACAAAAGGAAACAAAGGGCTTTGTTATTTCGGGCAAAGAGCCAGGGAGCATATTTTAATCGTGCGCCGTGAAGAGATTCATGAGCACTCGCTAAGATATACAGAAAAAAATAGAAACATACAGCTTATAAATTCCGAGATAATTTTGCTTTCTAATTACCTTTTTTGATGACCTTGCAGCTTGAGAGCCATTTTTACTAAGGGCGTTGAGCGAGGGAGTTTTCCTTGAGTGTGTTTGCAACTCGAAAAAACTTTGGTGGGGGAGGGTACTTCCTAATAAATCTTACCGACAGGTACTCAGTGTTCCTTTGTTTACCCCGAAAATCGATCGTTTCTCCTTGTTCAAGAAACGAATTAATGCTCTCTAAATTCGTGTCTGTATAAGTATGAAGACAAGGGTGATTTCAACTGGGAAAAACCATGTACATTACACTTTCAAGGAGTTGTGTGATCAGAGGTTTCTTCAGTATAGCCGCGTTGAAATATAGTTTAAGCTTCTCTTGAAGAAAACGATTTTTAGAACCAATCTTTTACGGGGGTTTATTTAAGTGTAAGACTAAACTGATGGACAAAAACACACCAATAAGACGCCTAAAGGCGATTCTGTGGGATGCGTTGGCTACTGAGCATAACACTGGAAGGAATTGTGCAGTTACAGTCAACAAACGTGATTAGTCAGTTAATCAGCCGAAGATATCACTGTAGAAAAGTTTAGTGTTAAATAAACCGTTGCTGTGTTTTATGGTAGAAAATAGCGAGGAGTGGTAGCTCCAAAACAAACTGGACCTCGACCTACTGATCTTCCCGTTTCCTATCGCCAATTTCATTCCTCCAAAAAGCAGTAGCCCGGGAAAAACAATTTCCATTTCTGCTTGCAACGGCTTCTCTCCTTTGAAGACGAATATTTTTAGCCGCCGTAATTGGTTTATCAAAAACCTTAACAGGTACGAAAACAGGCTGTACATGCATAAATATAGCCATTTAGACTGCACAGAGTTATTTCTAAGAAATTTAAAGTTAATTTTATGATATTTCGAGATCATTGCGCAATAAACCTTACGGCAACGTGAGAGGTTTATCGGTAGATTTGATTAGATATTATCTCATAGTTAATCACAAAAAAACGCACGCTTCCCCCGTATCAACATTACATAAATCCATTTGTGATAAATGACGGCAAATAAGCGATGATCTCTCACCAAAATCGTGTATTTATACATCGAAACAACCTTGCGCAAACACAAGGATTGCTATAAGAGATACGGAATACTAGGGGTTTTTTTTTTATAAACTATGGATCAGCAGACCGCGGAACCTCCGTAACCAGCAGAACCTACGGAACCATTAGCTTTTTGTAAAAAAAAAAAGGGTATTTCTGACCATTGAGTTTGCGAATAAGGCAGAAATAAATATTTTGTCGGCACGAGATGCGACAAGGCTTGGGCCTTGGGCCCGAGCATCATGGGTAATGATGCGGTCGTATATAAAGGGGAGTATAGCACGTGGTGTTCATCTAGGCCTCAGAACCAACCGTCCACCTCTGGCTGATGACAAATTTATTTTAGTTTGAAAAGTTATTTTCTTTAACCGTGAAGCCTCGTAGGACGGGCTGCCAACTGCGCTGAGTTTGGGCCATGGTTTTTACCCAGATTTCTTGTCATGCTTTTTTTCCCCAAAGGGGTTTTTTCTGGCAGGTTTTTTCTGGCCTCCGTATAACCGTAGTAATGTCCTTGTAAGCGGTTGCCCATCTCTGTAAATCCCGACTTGTTGAAGTTTGCATGTTAGTAATGTATACCTATTTTTGAATGTGTAAGGAATTGACTGTATATCAGGATTGTATATGGTATATCAGTTGAGAATGTATGTCAGTGCATGCCTCGGGCTATATATGCTTCGGGTTGGTTCTCGGCACGCTTACTACTGTGTTATTTGTTGTGTAGTGGAGACTGAATTTAATAATAATGAAATAAAATAAAAGTTAAAAATACTTCAACACCGTTCGAAATTTCATTTCGGGTATAAAGAAGATATTATTAAAATTTAATAATAAAGTTATTAAAATTTAATAATTATGACATAAAAATAAAAGTTAAAAATACTTTAACACCGTTCGAAATTTCATTTCGGGTATAAAGAAGATAATGTTAAAAGAGAAAATTTTTTTTTCTTAATCTACCTTGATGTCCAACCATGTGAAGCCAATAGCTAGCTAACCCAGTGAGCCTCTGTGAATATGCAAATATGTTCACGTTGCGCAATGGGTGATTTTTTTTCCTCCGCCACAAAATGGAAAAATTGCGCAATAGTACTCAGTGGTCATTGGGCCTCAACACCATGACAACTAACTGTGATCCAATGAGGTGTTCACATACTGATCACGCGTGTTATCTTGATGATGATTGACGTTGTCATACACAGACAGGGCTGGGTCGCATGACGAACCACGAGATTTTGGCCTATAAACTCTTTTTTCAATCGTTTTGTATTTCAACGTGTTTGGATTGCGATCACCTGGAGCATTATGGCGCAAACGCTCAAAATACTTACAGATGCATACACAAGTCGTATTGTTCGCGGCAATTCCACACTAAAAGATGTTATTGAGCAGTAATTTTGGAGTGGATTGAGTAGCGAACGCTTGAAAGCCATGAAAGCCTTGAATGCCTTGTATGCCTTGTATGCCAAGTATGCCAATGTCTTAGTTGAAAAACGTACAATTGTTGTAAAAAGCAAAATCTGAAATCTGAAACCAAACTGCATATATTCTATGCAATCTATTGAACAACACTTCAACCGTGAGACTGAAGAACAAACCTCTAATGGATGCAAACTGCTTGTGACGAAAGACGCCATGTTGGATTCACCTGATGCCAGGGAACGTAGCTACGATAACAGTGCGAATGGTATTAATTTCACGATCAGAAAGGTGAATCTTATGTTTGTTTTCATTGTAGTTGTATGGATATTCTTTTTTAATTAACACATGATCCAAAATCCTGTGTTTTTTGTGTATAATCTTATTATGTAAAGTATTGTTTTCGCAATTGTTTTGTCACAGGCGGCCCAAGCTCACGCCTCGAGAAACTGAAGCCAACGATTAATTCACAAACGCGTCACGCGTTGTGTGACTCGGTGTTAAGTTACGAGAGGAACCGTTGCAAATTAGGAATAGTATAGGGAACGAAATATGGTCGATTTACAGGGATAAATATTTCGAAATATGAACATTTTTCTCGTAAAATCATTAAAACTTACTCATACCCTGTGTATCCGTTGCAGATTCTGGCGATTTCTGCCGTTTTAAGCTTGCTTTACTATTACTGTTATTACGTCATCTACTTTTATTACGTTGGTAAAAAGTCTGTACGCACATCACACCAACCAACTCGCGCGCAAAGTAAGAAGACTATATTGAAGGCTTGAAATTATATTACGATCGATTTTCATCGAGAAATGGGCCAGGAATTTTCCACAATAGTGCAAATAATCGTGAAGGCTGATCGCGGAAAAGCGATTGCGTGACGCTCAGTAAGCTGTAAGATGACATGTTATTACATACCAGACGTAAAAATTCTTCAGATTCTCAGTCTACATTTTGTACCCACTCTGCAATCTGCAGTCTATATTTTGTATCCGGTCTGCAACTGCTGTCTGCATTTTGTACTAACAGATGTCCGTGTTACCAATACAGTTTATTTTTGGTTACATTTTATTCGCACAACACACATAATCTACCACAAAATACCTGTGTGTGAGGTAGTTCGACATTTTCGTTCTTTTCCGCGTTAATACTCTTCTTTCCTTTTGTAAGAATGTAGACCACTTACAATGTTTTAAGTAATTCATCCACCCCACAAAAAATAACTTAGCCTGGGAGCAAATGTGGTCCCGTGTGAAGTTCGTGCTGAAAGCAAGCACCTAGTGTAAAAGTGTTCATTAGGACCTACTAAACATGAAACAGTTTTGGTGCCAGCTTTGCAACTTGCCCAGACGGCTTTTAAGGGGGGTTAAATTCTGACCCATGAAATCCAGCATGGAAACGAGGCTAAAACACATAATTCCTCATAACTTTGTTAATAATAGACGAAAATACACCAAACTTGCTCCCATGATTGGACATGATCCTCCCTGTTGATTTATGCTAATTTACATAGGTCACGTGACCTTACGCATGAAAGCGAGGCTGAAACACATAATTTACTGTAAATTTGTAAAAAAAAATCCTTATCATGCCAAACTTGCTCACCTTAGTCAGTTAAACATCTTGCATCGATTGGTGCTACTTTGTAGTTTCACGTAACCCCATACATGGAAATGAGGCTGGATTGCAAAACACGCCAAAGGTGAACACATCATCCAGGACAATAACGTTGACTCATTGTAATGCATATTAATAGTATTTTTGAATGAAAAATATAAAAGCTAAAAAGGTGTAATGATAATGTATTTTGTGTGGCTTATATAACTTTATTATGAGCGATTTCCACAATCCTATTTCGCACAAATTCCTGTGGATTCTTAACCTAGGGGGCCTGGGTGATTGTGAGCCTAGACTATTGGTCAGCGGTAATTATTTGAGTGCCCGCCATGTTGTACTTACAGTCATCACAGTGCTTGTAGTATGATGGTTTTTGCTGGTCTAAAGTACCTTTAGATTTTAAGCTATGTGTAATCTGCCAAGAAAAAAGTACAGCCAATCTTGTTGATAATCCAACTTCCCATCAAAAGCTTTTAGAAGCCATCGAAGAACGTTCAAAGTACGAGGACATCAACTCGAAAACATTGTGGCTTGTGCTTAAAGATCTACCACTTGAAGAGCTTAAAGAAAAAGCAACATGGCATAGGTCGTGCTACCAAGAAACCACCCACTCAGGAAAGATCAAGAGGGTAAAAGAGAGGTTTCAGAGAGAGGTTAGAGGGCCAAATGAAGCTCGAAGAAAGACAAGTGAATCGCTTCAGGTAATTGCTAGGTGTAATGGCTTATAACTTTAACTTTTTATTTTCTTGTGTTTTTCATCTTGGAATCGCTGAAAAGGTAATGACATCCTTGACATCTCAAAACATTTCATTTCATTTCACTAACCAGGGACTTCTTGAAAACTGTCCCTTATGACATCAATCTGTGCTTCTTTTGTGAAGAGAAAGCGAAGTATCAGAACCCTCTGCATTTGGTGTCAACGTCATCTGCTGGTAGCTCTCTTGATAATGCAATAAAGCAATCAAAGGATTCTAAACTGCTCGTGAAGCTCTCGACGGCCCTAGACAGCACTGACGCTCATTCCATATTACGGCACAAGAAGTGGAGTGGAACAGCTGGTTTGTCGGATGTACCAACCAAAGACAGACATCAAAACTGTCAAAACCCTCAGATGGTCCCTCTAAGAAAAATCAAGCTGAGTCTGAGAGGTTGCCGCCCACACAAGCTGCTCTCCATCAAGCCATACTGAGAGTGCATTACCAGCTTCTTGTTTGGAACAACGATCATGTAGCAAACCCGGTGTTGCCCTCACCAGAAGGCTATGGATGGCAAGATGAAGATGGAAAGTGGGTACCAGTCATGACAAATCTTCCACCAGTTCCAGAGGCAATTAAACAGCTTGTCCGATGCAAGTGCGCCAAGTCCCGTTGCTCTAACAACCGTTGTCAGTGTCAAAAAGCCGGACTTGTCTGTACTGATCTCTGTCTGTGCTCTGAAGATTGCCAGAACGAGTATGCTGAGAGTGATGATGAGTATGATGAAGACGAAGTCGAACAGGAAATTTCATAGGAATGGACAACAGAACAATGTATATAGATATTCAGTAAGACTTTCATGACTGTATATATAAAATAGCAGTAGTCGCTATTTTCATTTTCTGCCCTTGTTCCAATATACATGCGAAAATGAATACATGGACTAGTATCATAAGTTGGCAAAATTATTGATTATGTGTACAAGATAGATTCTCAAATGGAGTCTCGGCAGTATTTGCTTTATCCGTCTCGTCCCTGTGCTATGGGCCATAGGACAATGATTAGTTGAAGTTTTTATATCTGAACTCGGATAACCAGATATGTATCTGCCTAGTAGTTGTTAATACATTTGGCAAGACAAATGCCATCCTACACGATGCTACCAGATATATCCAGCCTCGTTTCCATGTATAGGGTCACGTGACACTACAAAGTGGCACCAATCGATGCAAGATGTCTAACTGACTAAGGTGAGCAAGTTTGGCATGATAAGGATTTTTTTTTGACAAATTTATGGAAAATTATGTGTTTCAGCCTCGCTTTCATGCGTAAGGTCACGTGACCTATGTAACTTAGCATAAATCAACAGGGAGGATCATGTCCAATCATGGGAGCAAGTTTGGTGTATTTTCGTCTATTATTAACAAAGTTATGAGGAATTATGTGTTTTAGCCTCGTTTTCACGCTGAATTTCATGGGTCAGAATTTAACCCCCCCCCCCTTAAAAGCCGTCTGAACAAGTGGCAAAGTTGGCACCAAAACATTTCATGTTTAGTAGGTCCTAATGAACACTTTTACACTACGTGCTTGCTTTCAGCACGAACTTCACACGGAACCTTATTTTATGACATTTGTTCCCAGACTAACTCTTTCATGCATAGCATGCCTTTGTTTTGAAATAAGTGTATGCCCTTGGCCAGACTTAAGCTCACTATTTCAGTATACTAGTCCGACACCCGTAGTATCACTCCACTCCAAGGATCCAGTACCATCCAGGTATCCCAGTTACCCTGTTCACACGGTCTAGTTTAAAATAAATTATAACAATGTTTCCGGATGTCACCCTCTTTAAAAATAAAATTTGATTGATTGATGGAAGCTACCACAATGCAACGCAATCGGAGTGCGCACACCGCTAGGTGTTTAACGATGTGATTTCGAAACCGAACTAAAGCGTTGCATTGGTTTCGAGCGCAGGCATATACATTGTGGGACATATATATTAGGTCAAACAAACAAACAAACCAAAAATACTGAATAAGACGTGATTCATTACGGCTCATTCATAGCACTTACACTGTATATCATCGAAGATGATGAGGGCTTTTTTATGTTTACGTTGTCCAACGAAAATTCAGCGAGGCTTTCGACGAAATCAAATTAATTTTATGCTTTTCACTGTGTCGGGTGGACTACTACTGCTCCTCTATTATAAGCTGAGTGACACCGTTGTAGCGGAATCGTCGTTTAAGCAGCATTTTGTGGATTTTAAAAAAAATCAGCGAGTTAAGTATGTGAAAAATGTTGGAAATCTCTCGTCAGCTTGTAGACTGCCGAGTTTGGATCCGTTTCACCCAAGCATCATGCAGTTTGTGACAGATCTTGGAAAGCTACGATGTGAAGGAAAAACGTATTCAACCTACGCTCACAATATGCTGGAAGTGAAAGGAGAAGATATATCTTCCGTACAATACAGAATAATTGAAAGAGCTCCTGGAGATGATTTTCATACTGTACTTTCCGAACCAAAGCACGTTGTTAACCAAGCCAAAATACTTAATCGGAAACCCTCCAAACCAGGTAAGATATGATTTATTTTGATAACAACTTTTAATGAAGTAAAATTTTATTTTACCAGCGGATGAAAATCGATATGTCATCTCAGGTGATTCTCGTATGCCGTCTTGAATTTCTTCTCCTATAACGCAACGTATCATAAAGCACAGGCTGGTGATAAAACCCGAATAATCACCGAATACTACGAATAGTCGTGAATAATGACGAATACTAGCGAATAGTAGCGAATACTAGCGAATAGTCTCGAACAGTGGCGAATATTGATATATATATATATGTATTGATTGTCAAGTTTTCGGTAAGTGAGTAAATCAAGTTCCCCTAGTTGTCAGGCGCCCCTTTATGTCATGTCGCGTTATCGACCCCGGTCTTCTGGTGACCTAACTAGGCCGTTTATTGTACAAAACAAGACACTCTATGGAGTGCATACTCGTGCTTAACCAGCTACGAATGAGCTCTGGTATCCACATACTGAGCGCTTTGCATGCTTTCTTCTGCAGTAACTTTTGTGACGATAGCGTGACATTCTCCACGTGCCCGAGGACAAGGCGTTCATTAACATATCAATCAAGTCTTATGTTTTTTATTCTTGTCGTCTCATAAAGATCTCACCGATAAGCTTGCTTTACACCTTGTTATCCTAATACTTGCTTCGAAGAAAGATTGATCGTCATTCAAGCCATCTATATAGGCTACCTAGGGATCGCTATTGAACGATATTTCAATTGGTTTGGCTAAGCACGGATCATTGCCAGAGTTTCTTTATCAACGTCACCTCGAAGTTGGTGACAAGTCACAGGCTACACATGACGGATTGATTCAACATTCCAATAGAATCTCCAAACTGTCAGGTCATAGTTCGCAAATGGAAATGTTAGAATAGGGATTTTTGATGAAACTTTCCAGAGCTATAGCTTTTTGCGACCACAAAATTGCAATCCTATCGAGGACTTTTGTGCGAATTTCCCTAATTTAATCAGGCTCCATTACCAGCTGCTAAGTCAGCAGAGACCATGCTCTAATAAGATGTTCGAAAGCACAGTAAAAATGTAAAAACGTCTTGCACTTATTGACTTCCTTCGCCGTAATTACTTTAGACTTTTGGTGATTTTGCTAACGTGACAGCACAATTATGCAAATTAGTCTGTTGAGCAAACTCCGACCTTTCTTTATTATTAGCTTCATAAATCTTTCATTTTAACCATTTGCAAAAGAAAAGATAATAGGGTATAGCTTTTAAAACACACTGATTGATACTCTACACATTTTAAACGGCTAAAATCTGGCAAATGATTCTGTCAAAAAAGTTTTTTAACGTATTTCCATAAAACCAATGTGGTTTTATTTATTAACTACCAAAGATAGCTTAATGGGCAAAGTTTAAGGCAAAACTTTTTCCGATACAAATTGCCCTGGACCGCTCTGACATAGATCGCCACTTAAGATGCAGCTTAATTCGCGCTGGACAGAGTTTGGGTTGAGATTAATTGCTTAGAATGCGGTTTTGTTAAACAAACTTTGTTTGAATAAGCGGCCCATTTTGTCCGCCTGGGCTTTAGTTTGGTTTCATTTCTATATTTTAACAGAATTGGAATTTATCGACTGGATAAATCCATCGCACAGCCTAAAAGTCTTTTCCTAACGTTTTCTGGTTACTTTCAGAACGGGTTTGAATTTTGCATTTGGATTTGCATTATTCTTTACACATAAAATAAAGATAGAGACCTTTGCATACATCTCTTTTGTTAAATGAAATACTGGCGAGAAAGAGAGATTCAATTCATGACCATTGCTTTGTTTTTAGAATAATTTATATCATACTAAAAACATTATTGGTTAAAAGAGCGTGCTCTATCAGCAGCAGAGTACAAAACGTGGAGCTGAGCTAAAGCTGTCACGCCATCCGCCAATGTCCGATCATTTCCCGGACTTCTCCCTAGCTTGTTTTCGTTTAATTGAACCGGCAAATAGCAGCAGAAGAACCATGCAGTTTTGGGTCAACCTCCCTCCCTTTTTGGTCCGCCGCTCTGATTGTGGAGTTTATTAACCAGCGGTGGAGTTGCAAGTGTTGTTTGTGATAGGGCCCGAGGACATGAGTATCAGAAAAGTATATATATAAAAAAAATCAGAGTAAATTTTGGATAAGTCGACCGCGAAGGAATCAAGGAGAAGCCTATTTCTGACTATTAACGTTGTTTGTGGTTTTTTAACAGGTATCTTTAGAAAATTGTGGAACTGGATCAAAGGATGTAAGTACTCGTAATAGTAACTGGACTCTGGCGCAGTATAGAACATTAAATAAGAAAAAATAGGATAAACTGTTCCACAGCATTACCCTAAAAAAAATAACGAATGTGGCGCTGCCAAAAGCTCTTTACAGTAGCACTCGTAGTTGCCTTAAAGTAGATTGAGATGTGCCATATGTGTTACAAAAAGCGGTGTGAAAGTCACTAACAAATTTCCGTCACATGCACTCCCCCATATAATTAGTTTGGAAACTTCTCTCAGCAGCAAAAAACCAGTTCCCTTTGTATTGTAATAATCTTCATTCATAATCGCTTTCGTTGGCCTGCACACAATATACGTGCAACATGTACATGACAGAGCTTCCACTTGCGTGTTTGACTTCTGTCGCACGCTTATTGGTCTAACTTGGGCGCGCCTGATTAAAATCGAGCGCCTGCAATCCTAGTCTCCCTCGTAGCCATTGCTGGATCTCGTTACGAAACGCGCTTTACCCCCGGCCTTACTACCACGCCCCACGAGATCAAACACAGGCTGCAAAGGAGACTACTGCGTCCGGGATACTTTTTCGTTTGCTTGACATTCTTGACGGGCAGGGTAGAAACTTACATAACATCCTTCGTGCGTCTTTTTCTCATTTCGTGACACAGATCGCCCCTCATCCCCATTCTATGGAAAGGCAACCGTGAAAGCTGAATACCTCCGTGTCGATGTCGTGAAAACTTCGGGTGCGATCGAAAGTGACGTACACATGCAGGTCGTGCCAAAGGATGAAGTGTTATCGAGACCGGCGAAACCTGGTGGTATTCCACTTGATATCTCACTGATCATGTATGATTCCACATCTGCTGCTAACTTCCAGAGAAAGATGCCCAACACTTTGAAGTACTTGACGAAACATCTCAATTCAGTCGTTCTTCAAGGTTTGTTTATTTCAAAATTTCGGTGTCTAGTGTCTGGTATAGTTGTTGGTATGGAAGACGCGATGAGAAGTACTAATGACATAAGCCGTGGCGACGTGAAGTGATCTAAATTACTTTGAAAAATTAAAGGTGTTCTGAACCTTCACTATCAGAGATCCGATTATAGACCTACTGGTAGTTGTGCATTTCCGTGAAAATTCTAGCATTTGATTTTGGACAAGATGATATCCGCTGTCTCATAGGTTTGTCCATTGGCTCATCGCTGGTTAATTTATTGATATTGCACAAGATATTGTCACAAGAACTCGAGGAAGATTAAGAGAACGAGCAGCCCATGGACTAGCTGCTCATGCTTAGACAGGAGCCATTTCACGGATAGATTCTAAGTTGCCGTGTGGTAAGAACAAAAACGTGGCACACGGCGAAGTGCAGCCACGCGTGTCAATGATACTCTCAACGAGAACATCATTGGACGTCTTTTGTGATCTATGACTGCACAGACCAGCGGCAACATCAAATCTGTATGTTTTAGATGATAAAAAAGCAAAAGGTTGTTAACGGTGACGTAATCTATGCATTTGTCCTCCAGTAGGTCATAATAAAAAAATCAATCAAAATGCATCTAAAATTCGGCTTACCATATAAAATATCTATTCACTTCATGGTATAAATACCGCAGTTTGAGCTGCGGCAGCCGTGCAGGTCTATATAAAACACTATTTCTTGTTCCACTTTGAAGCCATTTTACCATATAAAGGTATCAGAACGCGCACATACTGTAGAACGGGGCAAAAATACGCACGGAAAGCGGAGCAATGAAATGTTCGCACTGAACGTTTCTAACTTCGGTTTTATCCTATTTTTTTGTGCTTTGAACCTTTAAGCGTATCAGATTTTTGGCAGTCATTTAAAACTATTTCAACAATTTCGCTGATGTTGTTTTTATCGTTAGCCGACGTTTTGCTCGTATTTTTCCTCGCCAGCCTTATTTTTCGTCAAGGGGGATTGGAGAATTTGGGGGGGGGTCACATAATTTTCAGTGGGAACAGAGGGGGGGGTCAGTCTTCGTTAACAGAGGATAAAGGGAGGACTATAGAAAAATTGAGGGTCTTTTTTTTAATACCATTCACTCCCTCGCCGCTCATCTCCTCTAATCTCTTCCGTCCCTGCATATTTTTTAATATTTGTATAAGCACATAGCTACCATGAGAGGAAAATTCATGAAAATTATAACTACCTCCGAGGAGTATCATAAAAATACGACCGAGCCTTATGGGGATCAGGTAGATTTTACCGTGTCCTCCGACCCCTCCTCCCCTTGTAAGGCGATAAATATTGACCAGTCTCTAAAGGTGTATTTATTACTCATACTAGGTGAAACAATTGTGGGAGATGGTACAACAGCCCAACTGTGTGCAATGCTTACTGGTATAGCTGAAAAGGAACAACCAGAAGCGAGAAGAAGTGAACCAAATGCTAAGACAGTTGATAATTGGAGGTGGATTTTTCGAGATTTAAAGCAGAAAGGATACGCTACCCTGTTTTCTGAGGACTCGACGGCTTATGCAACCTTTAATTACCGGCTACACGGATTTAAAGATCCACCCACAGACCATTTTGCCAGGCCACTATGGATAGAGGCGGACAACATTACTCAACGGGTTGTTCAGTGTATCGGTGGGCGAGCATTTCACAATATGTCTCTTGACTATTTGGTTGATTTCTTTCGTGCATACAAACAGAAACCCAAGTTCTCTCTCATGGTGAATGCAATTATGTCTCATGACGATCTGAACAGAATAGGTCATGTCGATGATGATTTGAAAAGAACATTACAAACCTTGGAGAGAGAGTCTTTTCTGGAAAATACTTTTTTGATTATATTTGGCGACCATGGTATTCGATATACTGGGATAAGAAAGACTCTCCAAGGGAAATTAGAGGAGAGACTTCCTCATATGTCCATTACAGTCCCAAAGTGGTTTACTAAGAAGTATCCAGATCTTTACAAGAATTTGATCCATAATTCCAAATTGCTGACCTCACCGTTTGACGTGTACGCAACACTACGTCACATCCTGTCGTATCCCAACTACCCCAGTGATATAATAACTGGCCAAAGTCTGTTTACTAAAATTGACAAAGATAAACGCACGTGCGCGAGTGCTGGAGTTGAGGAGCACTGGTGCCCGTGTCTGAACTTGGAAGAAGTTTCCACAGAGGAACCAATGATAAAAAAATTAACCGATTTTGTGGTTACCCATATGAACGATTTGATCTTTCAGCACCCAGAGTTGAAAACGCAGTGCCACAAATTGGTTCTAAAAGAAATCAAAAGCTCTTTCCGTGACATGCCAAATGCGGATATGCAGTTTTTTGACTCGACGTACCGCGACGAAAAATGTGATTCATGCGGGTTAAATTACGGTAAAAAGTCAATGAACACTTTAGCCAGGGATACAATGTATCAGCTGCAGTTCGTGACGTCACCTAATGAAGGATTTTATGAAGCATCTGTTAGAATGAAGAAAGGGACTCCGTCACTCGCGGGAGGTATCAGCCGCCTGGACGCTTATGGACACCAACCTCACTGTGTCGAAGATAAATATCCTCTTTTACGGAAATACTGTTACTGCTTGAGTCAGCGTACATGATGATAGGCCAGTTAAAAGACGTTATTAATATGGTAGATAAGTGAAAGACGTGTTCAGTGATTGTATAAAATATCATTAGTGGAGACAGTTAAAATTAATCTTAATGGCATGTTCATGATAGAACTATTTCGTAAAATATAGCTCGTTGAAGACGAGTTATCCGATTATGTGATAAATACTCAGTTTCCCAGAAAGCACTGAAACACCGTATGATGTATACCTGTCGGAGACTTTGTGTTTCGTGCGTGACACATATCAGATAACAAGTGTAAACATTATATCAAGAGAGACAATTTTTTAGAAGGGCTAACGCTCAAAACGTTAGCTTTTCAACTCTTTATGGTGGCCAATTTACGGAACTTATCAACTCAGTTGATGATACAGAATTACCCTGTTATACTCTCCCACCGACGCAGCACCACAATTTCTTTAGAAACTTATCCCTAGTTCTATGGGCTGCGAATACATTTATTTTTTTTGGCTGACCATGATTCTTCTCCTTTTATCCTTTTAAACTTTGCTTCTGTTCGAAAAGGCGAAAATATCGCAGGTTTTTCCTAGCCATAAAACAACTTGAATAAGTATAGTTTATAACTTTGCAGGCGCAATTTTTTACTTTATTTTATGTCTCCTTCCCTTGTTGAGAAATGCATAGAAATAGGAAACCACGCCTATAGCGATATTTTGGTCGATTACCAGATCAACAGTCGAGCTTTGCTTGCAAGAGAGCTTTAATAAATAGAAATCAGACAAGGTTGTGTCATTTTTTATCAAGAGCTAGAAGCACCGCCTTTCGTGATTTGGAATACTGATCGGTTTGCATGATCGATACAACTTTGAATAACCTTTATATCAGTGCTTAGCAACAACCAATCACAATGTAGAGAATGTAGTATATGAGAATGAGTTCGTTACAAGTTATGCAGAGTAGCTCTTTACACACCCGTTGTAACTGAGTGAATACGAGAGTATAATTAAACGGTTGAGCTTAATCGAGTCTATTGATTGAGTCTAGTTCGTTAGGATTCTATCCCTGGTAAACGGGGCAAAGTTTACGAAATACCAGAGTATGTTTGTGGTATTTGTGCTCTCGTGAGCTTGCAGTGATTAATTATGCGCGAATTGCCACGATCCTCGCCGATCGCTGGTTACATGAGTTCAGCGAATACTGCTATTATACAGAGAACAAGGCTCAAGTCCGAGTATGTCAAACTAAAACTAAAAGAGAAACCAAACCAAATTGGAAAAATGGAAAAAAAATAGACAGTAGAGCGTATTTATCGAACACTCTGAGTGAAATCTCTCAGAGACCTATCAGATTTTCTTATGAAGATTTTCATCAAATCCCATATATATACATATATATATATATATATATATATATATATATATATATATATATATATATATATATATATATATATACACATATACATGTACATATTTTTTTTATTATTGTCTCATAATTATGTTCTACATACATCGAAAGCGCTATATATATTTTTTTAGCTTTTTCTACGATCGAACCTGTATTAAGCGGCACCCTATTTAGCGGTCACCCTACATTAAACGATCATTCGTCAAAGTCCCTAAAAAATATTTTCCACTTCATTGCTGTAATTTTCACCTCTGTTAAGCAGCCACCTCTATTAATTAAGTGCCATTTCCGAGATAAACGGGGCTAACTACGAATTAACGACCGGGAAAGATCATAGTAAAAACCAAAATAAATAATTTTAATTCCCTGAGCTTTAGTTCCTCATCCATGTAAGGAGCTGGTTTCAAATTTAGCACAATAGCTTAGGATCTATTCAAAATGTGTCTATAGAGCTTAATTTGGAGGCCTTTCTGTAAACAATATCCTGTCTCGGTTGATAAATCAGCAAATAACTTTGAGGCATAGTAATTTTTAAACAGTCAGATTCATGCAATAGTGGGGCCTTAACCACAAAGAGGAAAATCCTGAAGTTGAGAAAAATGAATGGAGAATTCTTCGAGACCGTCCTAAAAAACTGCAGGAGATTTCTCTCTAACATTAACATAGTAATGACGGCTGCATGGCGCGCATACGCTTTTAGACTTAAATCCTTTGAAAATCGTTCGACTGAAAATATGGAGAATTGTATTTTGGGCTCTCGAAATGAACCTGGTCAGAGCTTAGGAAATCTTTATCCAGCCACGGCGTCTCCTGCGATAGTTAACGGGTCCTTTTATTTAAGGCAAGCTTTGTCACTATTCGTGTGACAGTACCACACTGGTACCTGCGCACGCCTTATTATAACTGCATTTGCACTGTTAATGAAATGTGAAAAGGACGAAAAGTACATCTTACGCTCTCAAACCGAATGCCGTTACGTTGCCTCCGCTTCGCTTTTAAAATCCTTCTTATTTGTTGTGGAATTTTTTTTACAGTTTTGTATTTTCAAGGCTATGATAAATTACCTGCGAGCACTTATAACATTAGCGAAACATGGTTTGGTCGTATGAAATATGTTAGACGAGTGGGAAAGCTCAGTTCCGCTTGTCGTCTTCCTAATTTGGATCCATACCACCCTAGCATAATGAAATTCATGAAAGATCTTGGCAAGCTTGAGTGCAAGGGAGAGACATATTCGAACTTCAAAGGCGACATTCTCGAAGTGAAAGGGAAAGGGATTTCTTCCGCGAAATATAGAACAATTCAACGACCACGTGGAGATGATTCCAAGGCTGAGCTTTCCGATCCCATAGAGATGTGGAACCTGGTCAAGCCGACTGTGCAACTATACCAAAGGGGAATGATTCCGGTGAGAAATCTTTCTTGTTGGTATCGTATCGAAGACAGATTGAAGACCTTGCTTTGTTCTTTTCAGTACAGGGTCTGTTTAAGATAAACTTGTAACAAGTAACAGGTCCGTTCCGCTCAAGTTACACAAACAGAAAAACAAGATAAATTAGTTAACGTGTTTCCACAAGGACTTCAAATGGCGCTTGACGGCATTTTCTATTTCTTTCTTGGACGAAAATAAACATTTCAGCCCGTTGCGAACTAGGCAAGCTTAAACAAATATTTATTAAAAAATAAACAGGCCACTAACGTTACTGAACATCACGATCTTTGTTAAGAGGAACTCAATTGGGAGATGGCTTTTACGGCAACCTGTGAAAATTCTTCCCATTTCACGGCTATCGGTTAACCCAAAATGAGACAAAATAACAAATTTTAGAAATGAAAAAATTTTTTACTGCTTTTTTTTTTACGACTAACGTGTTAGGCGACAATTTATGTGTTTTAGTTTCTGACGAATTTTTCGTATTTTTACGGTCGCGCAGTTCAAGTGTTATTTTTTTAGGTTTCGATCTAGTTCTTGTATTTTATTCTGAATTGTTTATTATTTTGTTTTGAATTGCCAACTAATACGTCTTGCTTGTTACTTTGCCTTTCATTGAACTGACACTTGTATGTCGGTGCTTTGATCGATGACCATTACTTTTGAAATTGCATGTAAATATAAGGGTCTGTCCACAGAGATGTGGGAGACGGTTTATTTTTATTTTATTTCTTTTACCGCTAACGGTTAAAATTTGTCAATTTTTACTCCTGATGGCGTGTTATTATCGGCAGGAGCCGGCTAAACTCATTGAAACGCTCTGTTAACTATTAATGAAATAACTTTTAAGACTGTGCCTAAGCTATTAAAAAATGTAAATTTCAAAAACATGCTTTAGCACTTTCTACAATAAAGTGCCCTTTTTATTGTAAAAAGAAATATGCCCATCAGCTGCAACCACAAATCAACCTAATAAAATTTCTTAGTAGTTAGCCCAAACTTATACCCCAATTACACCAAGGCTAAAACTTTTTAAGAAATTGTTTTCTTGATAGAGTTCGAAACCAATCAACCTGATTTCTGTTGACCTCAAATTTTCGCCGTTCATTGAGGTCACTGAGTTCGTTTTTCGTTTTCATTAAATTTAGAAATAAAAGTCAGTCTTGCGCAAAAAATTGAAAAAAAATAATAACTCGCTAAATCTTACAGCGCTGTTTTCTCTGAAAGGAAAATGATGGAAACATGGACTAAAAACTACCCTCACTGCTTTAGTGCCTTTCGTCAGTGTTATGTGCACTTGCGCTTTTTCCAACAACCTTTCTGCAAACAGCTGTTTTCTATTGTAAAAAACTGATCGCTGCAATCCATAGACGTTAAAAAGAGGTTTCCTATCGTTGTGTTGAAATTATCTCATGTTACCTGTTATTGAGCATAACACTTAACATTCTAACATCAGTTCGTATATTCTCCATACTGTTCTCTACACATCTCCTAAGGTGCTGACAAGGAGAATTTGCTTAACAATCGAGAGCTTCTTCAGTTGATGATCATCTCCTTTGTTCTTGCGACCTTTGATGTTTGATTCAGCTTGATATTGTTAGGAGAAGTTAGATACTCGTCACTCTTAGAGCTAACCAAGCTTTAGTAACCCGTCGGTGCCTTTCTTTTGGTTTTCAGTGGTCTTGGCTTTTTCGAAGAAAAGCGACTGCTTCCAACTCTGGTAAGTATGATACACGCATTTAATTGTATAGTAACGTCACAGATGGTAAATAAAGTCATCTCGTGACATGAAGCTAAGGCTCCTCTAGGGTGAATCTTCAGTAATAATCTCTTTTGTCATATCTCTCAGTTAGCACCTGCGCTATGATTGGTCAATTAAGAGGACCGTATTTCACTGTATGGCCCTCTAAACTCAAAAGTTTGTTTGAGTTGAAATATCCCCCCTCTAGAGATCGATATTGTGAATTTCTTGCTAACCTCTTTTCCTCATCCGTACTGTAAGTTACGGAATTTTTTTTATTCGGTCCGCAACTTACAGTACGGACTTTGAACTCGGTAAGTAAGAGGTATGTATTCCTTTTCTGTGTAATAAGACGAAGGTTGGTAAGGCGGGTCAAATATAGTTTGCATCCGAAAGAATTTTTCAATTCAAGCAGTGCGACAATGTAGTTAAATATTTCTTAACGTTTGCTTTAAATTCTTAGGAAGTTTCTTGGGAAAAGCTAAGGTCAAATCTGATTTTGTCCGAGTCGATGTTGTTACGACGTCCGGTGACGTGGAGAGTGATGTGCATATGCAGGTCATACCTAAAGAGGAAGTCTTATCAAGATCGGTGAAGGCTGGTGGTATTCCACTGGATATCTCATTGATCATGTTTGATTCCACATCTGCTGCTAATTTCCAAAGAAAGATGCCCAACACTTTGAAATATTTGACGAAGCACCTCAATTCAATTATTCTTCAAGGTTGGTAATGGTTTCTGTCGTTAACGTGGTCAATTCTTTTGCTTGGTTATTTGCTTGACATTTTTGCTAATTATTTCATCGCATTTCTTTTCAAAAGGTATGTCGATGAATGGAAAAGAGCCACCCTTTTCAAAAACATATACTTTCACTTCTAAAAGCGTATTCCACACTTATATTAATAAGCATCTCTGAACAAGTTCGGAAAAGATTCGAAAAGATTTGTAACGTTTCCACAGCAGGGTGACCGAAAGGACATGACACTAGTTCTAACTTGACAATTCGACGTGTCTATGCAAAACCTGACACGACGACGGAAGTTCTATATTGCTGGGACCTGTCATGATCTGTCGTCAGGGAGAAGGGGAGGGGGAAGGGGTAGGGGGGGAAGGAGGGGAGAGGGAAGGAGAGAAGGGGGAAGGAGGGGAGGAGGAAGGAGGGAAGGGGGAAGGAGGGAAGGAGGAAGGAGGGGAGGGGAAGGGGGAGGAGAAAGAGGAAAGGGAAGGAGGGAAGGAGGAAGGAGGGGAGGAGGAAGGAGGATAGGGGAAGGGGAAGGGGGGGGGAGGAAGGAGGGGAGGGGAAGGGGGGGGGGAAAGAGGAAAGGGGAAGGAGGGAAGGAGGAAGGAGGGGAGGAGGAAGAAGGGAAGGGGAAGGGGGAAGGGGGAAGGAGGAAGGAGGGGAGGGGAAAGGAGGGAAGGGGGAAAGAGGAAAGGGGGAAGGTGGGAAGGAGGAAGGAGGGGAGGAGGAAGGGGAAGGGAAGGGGGGGGGGGAAGGAGGAAGGGGAAGGAGGGAAGGGGAAAGAGGGAAGGGGAAGGAGGGGGGGAGAAGGGGGGAAGGGGGAAGAGGGAAGGGGAAGGGGAAGGAGGGAAGGGGAAGGAGGAGGGAAGGAGGGAAGGGGGGAGGGGGAGGAGGGGAGGGGAAGGGGAAGGGGAAGGGGAAGGGGGGGGAAGGGGAAGGGGGAAGGAGGAAGGAGGGGAGGAGGGGAAGGAGGGAAGGGGGAAGGAGGAAAGGGGGAAGGGGGAGAGGGAAGGAGGGAAGGGGGAAGAAGCGACTGAAATAATTTGGTTGAGTCACAATAAAATTTACCTGATCCCCCTAAAGGTTCCGTAATATTCTAATCATTGGAAGTTAATTGGCAGTAAATTCTCTATAGTCTCAACTTTATACTCTGTTGGCCACGACCAAAAGATCATATGATCTCGTGCGACGTCTCATTCCCCCTCTGTTCCAACATAGAAGCATCTGACCCCTCACTCCCCCCCCCACTCTGTAAAAAATCCACCAACCCTTCCCCCAAGGTGATAAATAATTACTGGTATAACTTGTACTAGTCTCTTCCCTTAGGACAAATTCTACGCAAGCAGGTCTTTCTTGACAACTTTCTTTTCTCTCTTACCGTTTAAATTTTCTCCAGGAGAGACAATTGTTGGTGATGGTACAACGGCTCAGCTTTGTGCATTGCTCACTGGGATTGCTGAAAAGCACCAGCCTGAAGCCAGACGAAGTGAAAGTAACTCAGACACAGTTGATAAGTGGCGCTGGATTTTTAAAGATTTCAAAGAACACGGATACGCCACTTTATTCTCTGAGGATTTTCCACGTGTTGCATCATTCAATTATCGTCTACTTGGTTTCAAAGATCCGCCCACGGATCATTATTCCAGACCATTCTGGTTGGAGGCAGAAAATATCATTAAAGGCCATTGCATCAGTGGCCGTGCCTCCCATAATATTTCACTGGAGTATCTGATGAGCTTCTATCGCGCTTACAAAGACAGGCCAAAATTTTCACTGGTGACACACGCGGTGATCTCACACGACGATCAGAACACTATTGGTTACACCGATGATGATTTAAAAACAATTTTGCAAACTATGGAAAAAGAGTTCTTTCTCAACAGTACCCTCTTGATTATATTCGGAGACCATGGAGCTAGGTTTTCTGATGTGAGAAAATCAATCCAAGGGAAGCTAGAGGAGAGACTTCCCTTCATGTCCATTACAGTACCAAAGTGGTTTACCAGGAAGTATCGAAATTTATACAAGAATTTGATTCATAATTCAGAAGTATTGACCACGCCCTTTGATGTGTACGCTACCCTGCGTCACATTCTGTCGTATCCAAATTATCCGAGCGGGATAACGACTGGTCAAAGCCTGTTTAACAGGATTGACAAAGACAATCGCACGTGTGAAAATAGCGGTGTCGAGGAGCACTGGTGTCCATGTCTGAACTTAGAAGAAGTCTCAACAAACAAGCCTCTGATAAAGATGTTAGCAGAATTTGTGGTTAAGTTTATGAACAATTTAATGTCAAAATACTCTGCATTAGAAGATCTTTGTCAAAGGCTTGTTTTAAAAGAAGTCCAAAGCGCATACATCGACATGCCAAATGTAAAATTGCAACTCTTTGAGAAAAGTAGCCGAGATGATGACTGTGATTCTTGTGGGGTGATACTCGGTGAAAAATCCGTCAACACTTTAACCGAGAACACATTGTATCAGTTGCAGTTCACAACGTCTCCGAATGATGGATTTTATGAGGCTACGATCAAAATGAAGAAAGGTGTTCCTTCGCTGAGAGGGGATATTAGTCGAATCGATGCTTATGGAGATCAGCCATATTGCATCGTAGACAAATTTCCACTTTTACGGAAGTATTGCTACTGCTTTTAGAAAAAAATGCTCTTTCGCAGATGTACTGCGAGACCGCCTCAACATCCGGTACCTTTGAATGGGAAATAGAGTGCGCAATGCTTGATGGTTAGATGACAAGTTTAACAAGCTCATGACACCTCGGACACTGAGCTGCAAGAAATGAGGGAGGCCTGGACGAGACAAGATAGATATAAACTTGTACAATTTTCGCGACGTACCGGAATAAACACCGTAAACTGCGATGCGCTGTGTTGCCAAACAGATTCTAACCGCCTAATCAAAATGATATGTCATGATAGATTTGACTGACTGACTGGTCAGTGGCTGACTAACTCTGACTTCGCTCTGGTTCTCCAACCTAGTCGCCTGTCCATTCATCCGTTGATTCCTTCATTGATTTATTTCGTTCGTCAATTCCATCTTTCCATAGATAGCTTTATTAAAATCTATTGCAGCCAAAAGGCTGGATTACGGACTGTATAAATGTTTACTTAATACTAAATACAAAAAGAATAAAAAAACTAAATTAAAAAAAAGGCTAAAAAATACTATATATGTATATTAAAATTCGTGTTACACATGATAAAGCCATTAGGAAATAGCCGCGTTGTATATGATAAAACTGTTCTTCAGTCTATTTGTTCAGCAAAAAGATACGTTAAAAGTGCGCTTTCTCCTTAAGGCTACGGTACCAAGATTACATGACGGCAAAAGGCCATGTAACTGAATAGGCGCTCCGTCAGCAATTGGCGCCGCTGTTAGAGGGTGGCAATATTGCACTCTTTGAGAGCTTCTTGGTAGCTTAAGACTGGGAAAATCATTCTAAGTGCACGGCGCTGAATATTCTCTAGCTCTTCAGTGAGATACTTAGAAAAGTATGGAAAACTTGGCAAGCATATTCCTTTCTTTCCCTTTACCCCTTTCTTTACTTGTTCAGTCTTTTATTCATTTGTCCATTATTTCATTCGTTTTTTCACATTCGTTCGTTCATAGCCTCTTTCATGCGTTCGTTCACTTAAGAGTTTGTTCGTTTGTTTGCTCCTTATTTCGCATGTCCATTTCTTTGTTTATTCGTTGGCGTGTCAGTCGTTTGTTCAATCGATCATTTATTCCTCGTGTTCTTTTGTCTGTTCGTTTATCATTTTCTAATGTTGGAAAAATGTTGATTGAAAAGTGCTGCTAGAAGAAAAATGGTATGAGTTTCAAGGAATCCCTTCCTTCAAATAATGAGTTTGAAACACATGCATCGCTCGAGACTAAGCGAGGAGTCCTCCCTCGCTCGAAACCAATTGCGAACCAATCAATTTCTCGATTGTGTTTCTTACTGCAATAAACAAAAGTCGCTCATACTTGCTGACAGCCGCTTTTTTCTGTCCAGCTGCAATTCACATGACTCATCCAAGGAATGGGAATTATTCCACTTCAATCAAGTATAGAGATAGAGAAAGTGACTTGGCTCCTTCCCTAACATTTGAAGCTATTGGTCGAGTGTGATCCAATAAAATGACCCTTAAAACCACTCGGAGAAGGAAAAGACTCCTAATATCGTTGCCTCAACTGAGACAATTTACAACCTAGTCATGATATATGACCGTTTCGTTTTAGTTTTTCATGCAATTGCGCCTTCCTCTCCTAATTTTTAGCACATACATTCAGGCATTATGTGACCAATGCCCCTATCCACTCCACCGACCCCTATCGGGAGTGGCATTTTCGAGCAGACAGAATTATCTTCAGCGGTTACCCAAATGAGAAAACAAAGCTTCTATCAAAATGGCGGTCTTCGATGTCATTTTGAACGATAAAATTACTGACCTAAAAGACTTACTTCAGGCTGATCCAAAATGCGCCAACTCTGTAGGATGGCATGGTCTAACACCATTGCACCATGCGGCGCTAAAAAATAATGAAGAATTGATAGATTTATTACTGCAATATGGTGCTAATATCAACCATCCAAACGCTTACAGGGAGACACCGCTGCACCTCGCTTGCCAAGCTGCCTCTTTAAAACTTGTCCACAAGTTGCTGGAGATTGGTGCAGACTTGAGAGCAGAGGATAGCGCTGGAAGGACATGCATTCATCATGCTGCCAAAAGTGGATCTGTGTAAGTGTTTTTTAGAGAAATTTAGACTACTGCCGGTCAATTAATGAATCGAATAGCGGAAGATGATTTTTGTTTAATTTGTTTGTTTGTATTTCTCTATACGTGCATTTGATAGCCTGAATTTATGTCGTTGGATTTATTCGTTCTGTAAATCTAATCAAGTTTCAATTTCTTTGTAAACGGTAATGGATTATGGAATTCATTTAATGCTCTGTGATATAATTTACTCAATTAATGAAGCTTAAAATCGGTGTGAAATGAACATTCGAGTTTCGAAAAGCACCATATCATTATTTACATCAGAGAAACGAATTTTCTTAAATTTTACACATTTCCAATGTTCAGATTCTTAGGTATTCATAGCATTTGTTCATGGGGTTTTCCTTTTTTAAATTGTTTTGCACATTAGTAGATGTCATAACAGTGTTGGGTAGTGATAAGATATAATTATTGTTGAAATGAAGCGGTGATTATGGAGCCCTATTAGATGGGAAATCAAGCCTTATCCAGCTTTAAAGAACATTCTATCTGATGAAGAGATGATCAGTTTTGAAGCACTATGATAAAAGAAAAAAAAGCTTCTTTACATTTTCACTAGTATTAAACACCAAAACAGAAAGAGGCTTGTTTTGGGACATGACCAGACATGTTATTAAATGTATATTTTAATTTACGTACACAAAACACTAGACTATTACATCAGAGGTATCCAAAGGTTACAGAAAACATAATATGGTCTAATAATCAGGGATAAATTATGAATGCTAATGAAACATTGAAACAATCAAAACTGTGTGATGAATGGGTAGAAGGAAAACAAAACTTTCTTAAAAGCTAGAAATAAACTTGTTGCTTAGTTGATTGATCACTAATAATACATGCACAGATACCTAAGTGGTAATATACTGCTCTATAGTAATTTTGCATTTAAAGTTCATTAGTGTGGTGCATAGCCATTGGCTCTATCCAAGTCTTATCAGTTTCATGATGAACAAATTGCTCAATCTTAAGAAAAGGAAAAAAAATGTAAACTGCCTGTTGCAGTCCACCTCTTAGTTATGGATGTCTCCATTCATATTATTAGAGATTTAAAATATTCTCATTAATTTTATAACCAGGAAGTTAAATCAAAACAGCCATTCTCCTTAGAATCTACCAAATATTGTTTTTTCAACAACAATGAGGTTGAATAGAAGTCTGTGTAAGATTAAAAAGTTTAAAAAATGAATGAAATGTTTTCAAACAGATGGATAATTGAAATAATATTATATATGACAAAATCTGAAGGAAGGAGTAATTAGGGAAGAGGAAGAAGAAAATTATGAATTCTTCTATTTTCCATTGATGTTATTAAATTGATATTCGAACATTTGATTTTAAATTTCACCTGTGTTGATATTATTTTATTCCTTAGTACTTACTAATATCTACTCATAACTTTGTCATACTTGCTGGCTCAGGTCTTGTTCATTCTTCAACGTGGAGAGGTGCACGGGCTAGCTCCAGAGTATCTGTGTTCAAAGTTTACGTGGCGTGACTCTGCTTATGACCTCAGGGACTCTGAAAATTAGCTCAATGTTCCCTTACCGCGCACTAATTATTACCGAAAAAGCTTTAGCTACAATGGCGCCACATTATGGAACAGTCTACCATGCGATATAAGGAACACAGAGTCTCTGGGGGTATTTAAATGTAAGATCAATGACATTCTTTAAGTCTAACGCATGGCACTCACGGAAAACAGCTTTTAGTGTTATAGTATATAGTTTGAGTTTTAAATATTCTAGCATATGTGATATGTATTTTTTAGGCTGATGAATTGACCGTGTTTAAATAAAAATGAAACGAAATGAAAAAAATGAAATGAAATGTGTTTATCTTTCTTCGATATCTAAACTTACCCAGTAATCAAGTGGCAGCCAAATGATAGAAAAAAAAAAGGAATTTAACTTTATTATCTGATTTTACAATTGTATATTATTGCCATCGTTTTATTTTTTGCCAGATTAAAGCTGCATTACTTGACAGAATGTGGTCTGAGTCTAAAGAAAAGAGATAACAGGTAAATCTTAACCCTTTAACTCCTAAGATCTCATTAGTGTTTCTCCTTACTGTCTGCAATACAATTCTTCTGATGTTACTTCTGAGAATTTTGTTTTGGGTCAGCTAATAATCCACCAATTGATACTTTTCTTGGTTCTCATCACTTGTCTTCTTGATTTTGTGTTGATATTGTAAGGAGAAATTCTGTCTTGGTCACTCCTGGGAGTTAAAGGGTTAATAAGTATAGCTCATGATTACACAAGGCTTTGATTGTGGTAATAATATAATTTAGTAACTTGTGGATACTGTGTGGTACATGGAACAGGAGATAGCACCATAGCATAATGGTGCCAAGACATAGTGAAAATTGCTCAGGGCATAGAAAGTTTGTAATAGAATTCTGCCTTCTTTGCAGAATTCTCTTATTAATTTTTTTAGAAGAGCAGGTTGAGAAAATATTTGGCTTTAGGTCTAGAGGTAGGGATAGAGAGCAGAGATCATTCTTTTTGATCAGTAAAAGCTTGTCCTTAATTTTGTCTCCATAAAACAAGAAACTCAGAAGTCATTTGAAACAAGGTGACTCAGTTTACTATTTCTGTTTTTTGCTTTAAAATTGTTCTCTAGACGAAAATATGCAATTTGTTTCAATAGAGGTCTGACTGCCCTTCATATAGCTGCAGAGAACAGTCAGCTGGAAGCCACAGAATATCTAGTTCGTCACAAGGTATGTCCAGATGCGCTAATTTACATGATTGAAAAGTAAATCACTATTTCATTATGCTACATGTACATGTAGTTATACATAAATTTATTATAAAATTGGAGAATGTTATTAATTTAATTTTTTTTCAATTAGCACTTTAGATTAATGAAGTTGATTTGTTTATGCATGAAAAAGTGCCACAAAGGCAGAAGCTAAGATTTACCAAATATTTGATATTTGGTTTTAAAAAATGTTAAGTTAAAATTTTTGAAATATGTAATTCATAAGGACCTAGATTAACATTGGGATTGAAGTTTAGCTTTTCTCCATGGAGTCTCTTCTTTCAAATCATTTCTTGCAATTAATGCTGCTTCAATTTCCAACAGACCTTATTGCTAAAGTACATATTAAAATTCTTTACTCATGGCTTGACAGAATGACTTGTCCCCAGCTAAACATGATTACATTTTTTTATTACAATTTATTATATTAAATTTTCACTCACTGAGTGATTGGATACAAATAGCACATGTAATTTTCATTATATGGCAAGATAGGAAATCTGAGCCTTCTGATAAGTTCTTACTAAACCAGGATTTGCCATATGGACCATTGTCTTGGAAACACCATAAACCCTGTATTTTTTTTTTTTGCATAAGGCAGCAAATCCAAATTAAACAAGTTTAGTCACTGTGGAAAGAAAAGTTTAGCAGATTAAAAATAATGCCCACACAACTACTGAATGTTTTAAGCAAAACCACATTTTTTGAAGATAGTGGAATCTCAAGATTGTGGAACCAGCTACCCATTAACCTAAAGAAAGAGGCAAGAACAGTTACTTCTTTCAGAAAGGCTTTCCCAGACATTTTTTACTAGCTATGATGAAGTAGAACATTAATTTTCAGTCCAAATGTGATTTACACTGTAACCCAAGCGGCATATTTTATGTTACATGTATCTTGTTTTAAGCTTATATTCTCGTAGACCTGTCAACCAGTTTATAATCCTCAATACATTTTATTTCTAATTATGTTACTTTTAGGATCGAGGGCCAGTTGAATTACTGTTGTGTTACCCTCCTTGCAAACAGAGTTGTTTGTTTAATTGTTTGTTTGTTTGGTTGTTTGAAGATATTATTTTTATTTATAATAAGATAAGCTGTTCCATGGACAGTGACCACCAGGTGACATAATTTACACACTAGAAATGTGTGCTGAAATGCTTGGGTGGGATTTACTGGTCCTCTAAGATTTTGTTGTGGTAATTATTTGACATCTCTTAAAGTGCAATTGTTTTAGATTTTCTCAAAATTTAAATGATTAATGGTACAAAGTATCACCAATTAACTCTGATTGTACTGTGTTTTATACTAAAGTTAATTCATACTTAAATTATCTGTGAATTAAATTTCACAATTTGTACAAGTTTGATCAAACAATGTCATGGAGGTCAGTATAAATATGGGCTGAATAATTTTGTCTTCACTAGGGAAAAACAACAACTAATTAAAAAAGAGAATTTGCACCATCTAATTTTCTAGTAGAGCCAAGGGCAGATATTAATTTTCAAGCAAAAAATATGGATAAATTTCTTGTCCTGTAATTTAATATTTTGATGTACTGTAAATGCAGTTACTTTTTCTCTGCAGAGGTTTCCTACTGATGTGCGAGACAGTGGAAATTGTACACCTCTTCACTTAGCTGCCAAGCATGCACACTGGTAAGCTGGCATATGACATTGCATTACACAATTATGAGTTCTTAAAAAAATGTTTTTGGTAGATTGATCCAAGGCCTATCATTTAGGATACTTATATTTAGTTGATCACTTTCATTTAGTAAAAACAAACGTGAATGTAAGAAAACATTACAGACTGTACTTTGCTTTGTGTTTTATTAAAGTTTTAATAGAATGGCTTGTGGAGTATTTCACCAGAATACAGCTTGCTAAATAACCAGGTGTAGTTTTTGTTCAACTGTCAATTCAGGTGTTTGAATACAATTGAAGTTGTACATTTATACTTAGTCAAAATTAACCCTTTAACAGAGTGACTAGCATTTAATTTCTTCTTACAATATCAGCCCTGAATTACACAGTATGGTCATGAGAATTAAGAGAATGATCATCAACTAAAGAAACTCTTGATTGTTAAACAAATTCTCCTTGTTAGAACCTCAGGAAATGTATAGAAAACAGTGTAGAGAAAATGCATACTGATGATAGAGTATAACTGTGAAATCAAAATCCACATGTGGTGTAACCCTCACATTTATCAGTGATTCACATATTAGCTTTTGAGATAGAGACTGGTGCAGTTGCTTTTTGATTGCATCACAAAATGTCATCTAGAATCTTTTTTAATTGACTTTCTTATTTTTCTGGTGATTTGTTCTACGCAGTGAAGTTGCATGGGTTTTGGAGAGCAAAAGCACATTATCAATGATCAATGAACCAGACGTGATGGGGAAAACTCCTCTGGACTATGCTAGTGATGTAGAAACTCCAAGGTAATGTACAGTGTATGGCATAAGACTCCTACTACAATAAAACTCTCACTTGAGGCACAACCTAAAATGATCCAGCAAGCTGTTCAAGTGAGATGATATTTGGTCTCAATATGATGTTTGGTGATGTCTCTTAATGAGTCCATTAAATCTTGACAGTTACTCATTTAGTTAAGAAAATTAATAGCACCGTTGGATGGAAAGCAAGGCTATTACTACCACAGGCAGCCCGAGAGATGATCATCTTGCATAATAGGTGTCATGGCAAAAATGTAAGAGTTGTTAAGGAATAGTTATGACTGCTCTTAGGAAGTAAAAATACAGTCAAAGTCTCAGAATATGAAATATCTCACCTTCCACAGTGCATCGCATGTTGTCTGACTGCTTATTTTGTTGAAATGAGGTCATTTTAGCAAGTTATCCATTTCTAGGTTTCCTACTTCGAACTATTCTTCTTCCCACACAAACTCTTATATTGTCACAAAGACACTTATCATGCAAGATGATCATCTCACAGCTGGAGCTCGGGCAGCCTGTGTAAATATGTGTAGGTTTATGTGTGACTTGCATCCTGAAAGCTGCTAGGACCAGCAATAAGGAAAAAAGTTATTTGAGTTACTGTTAGTAGAATTTGGAAAAGATGGTAAATTTTGAGTAGGTATTGGAATAGGGTGAAATGTTATCCATCTTCAGGTTGTCTTGTTTTGTGTTATAAACTTCATGAGATAAATTTGAGGAAGAAAGATGGTAAATTTTGAGCTCGGTTGTGGAACAGATAAAGATGTTATGACCCGTTTTGATCAAGTGCACTTACTGGTAGCCATAATTTTCCTCCGTTTTCCATATTGTAGACACTTGTGGCTGAAGAGACATCTGAAGTACTGGCAAGCCAGCCGCTGCCCTCGTAGTCGTCCACCTAACCCGTGGATGCCATGGTTCCTCCTGCTTCTGTCGCCCTCATTTGGAATATTCCTCATTGCTTTGTCCTTCTATCAGCTCCCACTAACGTTTGCAATACTCTCAACAGTGGCAATTGTTATATTTTTCAATATCTGGTCGTTCTCCAAACACAGATTGCAGCACATCTCTGCCGTTCCAAGTCCTGCACTAGCAGGGTTTTTCTTTGGGTCCATACTACAAAGCCTCTTCTGCTACTTTTTTTATATTATGCCTCATATCCTTTAAGAATTCAGTACCACCGGTAATCTGTTTAATAGGAAGACATAGAAGTTGGTTACCAGTAGTAAACTTCATGTGTTTGTATCAGGCTTACCTTGGCTTCAGTTCCTTTCGCTCAGTAGTAGAGCATTTGACTGATGAAGTTACGGGGTCATGAGGTCAAATCTTCATTACCCACTCGACGGTTAATATGTATGAAAATTTCAGATGGTCATTTCTCTGACTTTCTCGGTTACGCTGTCATGATAGTCGAGAGCTCACTCCAGTGATGTCGAATTTTAGAAATCAGTACAGATTTGAATTTGTTTTACACAGATCTTTTTATGTAATGACACTTCTAACAATCTAACACTACTTGATATATCACACTTATCATAGAATTCAATATCTTGTGACTGTACTATACTTTTTAAGTATAAAGGGGGTAAATTTTTGAAGAAACTGTGGTGTTGTGTCAATGGGGGTGTATAACAGGGTAATTTGGTATAATCAACTGAGTTCATGATGTAAATTGGTGACCGTAAAGAGTTTCCAGTCTTACGTGTTGAGCGTTAGGTCTACGCCAGAGCGAATGACATAGGGCTAACGTTCGAAACGTCTTTATAGTGGTCAATCAACGTTATCAACTTTGTTGATGAAGCCAAATTATATTGTTATACTCTTGAGTACTTTGTTCAGCGCTCTTGACGATCCATGTACTTATACTACTGACATTACTTACAAGGCTAATATCAGTTACTAGCAATACTTATTCGTGAGTAATGTTAGCGTTGTGAGTAATGTCGGTAGTGTATTTATATAATGGTAACAGTGTCGGAAAATGAATAGTATTCAATGTTATATAGTTTTATATAGTTTTCTACATTCTTCTCTCTTATTGTGTGCTAATTGTCCCAGAAAATATATCCTTAACGTTATTCACAACTGTGGCCGGAATTTCTTTGGACTTCGTTAGCAATTCTTCTTTTGGCAGTCACTTTTGTATCATTAAGGTTAGTGAGATAAAATAGCGTGTTTCATTTGCTGGCCTTTTTCAGTTTATTATTTTTGGTGAGTGTTAAGCTTATCCCGTTACGATAGCAATTGAAGCAACTTGTGGGAGGTCTACTTCATCTTGGACAAAGTATCCTTGTATCCCAGGGATAAGAGTGGAGGTCCAGAGGGAAGGTGGTGGGGTCCCAACTTCACCCCCCCCCCCCTTCACCCCATCAGACTTGTGTGGATTTTTTTACTTCTTTTCTAAATTCAAAATTTTTCCAGTTGAAGGTTTTCATATTACCTCTAATCTTGAAGGATTTAAAATGAGCTTGTGAAATATTCCTTAGCTTATCTAGGTGAAAAAACAATATTGTTATTTCAGTATCAAAATTTGGACCCTCCCCATCAAAAGTTCTTGCCCCTGGTTTCCTCTTCTCTTCTCCCCCAGAATGTCGTTAGATTCCCCGAAAGTTCTTTGCATTTACCCCTTTGTGCGAGCGTAGAAGAGAGTACTTTTAAGAGGAAAGTCTTTTGCCGAAGCACAGAACACAATTACCTTGCCAGGGCTTTAATTAGAATAATATTTATGTATGTTTTTACCTAATGAAAAACTCTGTCCTTTTGGTGAGGTCGAAAAGCGGCGGCAAGATGTTGATTTTATTTAATTGATTTGTGAAATATCATTGTGTAGAATGAATCTTTTGAGATCTCGCTCCATTTGTTCGCAGGAGTTTATATTCTAACCCTGGTGTTGTGACGTCCAATAGAATATCAGACACAGGGGAATCATTGGTAAGAATTAAAAGACAACAGCGACACATCGGTTTGGACCTCTCCTCTTGGGCCATGGATATAATACGTGTATGAGGGAATCAAATAGGAAGTTAAAGTGTTCAGTGTAACAGCTTGCGAGCAGACTGTCATTGAAAATGCAATACGAGCGGTGAAGCCCACGCTTTTCCAGTGGTCGAGCGATATGAGCGCGCGAGAAGTCCGGACTTGTTTTTAGTGCCAGACTCCACACTGACCTCGCGCATGTTCTCTTTGCTTGCCGGCTTGAATCTTGCGGGCTTGACCTCATCCATTCTTAAAATAGCAGAAAACAATTCAAGGAAAAATCAATCAATGTCATATTCAGATCTCGATATTTTGATATTCAGCGACAAATCGTTGGCCTCACCTGCATGCTCTGGGGATTAACCTACAGAGCTTGTGACTCTGGTGGGTTTTCTTCCCTGATGTCTTGTATAGTTGTTTATTGTTTCACGCGGAATTTTAAGACCAGGAAATTTGGTAGTTTTTTATTAGTACTATTTTTCCTTCTAACACAAAAATTGAATTTATTTCTTCAACAGAACATTCTCGATGTAGCCAAAGGAGTTATACCAGAGAGCCAATTTTGCACCGTTTGCGAGGTATAGCATCACTGCTGTTTCATGGTTATTCCAAAGTTCGGATAGATTATTACTTTGCAATCCAGTGCTTAAGTTCTCCACGATTGTGTTGGTTTCGCTGTCAATGGTCGATACTTTTATATTTCTGAAATGAAAAGAAAATTATAATCTCATAAGGGTGATGCGAACGTGTTTTGGACGAAGTCTGTCGCCTTTGGGGGGCTTTTAGGCGAAGGTGAGTACAATATTTCTTTAACGGAAATGTTGAGGAAATTAGGTAAACTTGTTGTTTAAGTGGCTGCTTTAAGCGTTCTCACCGAAATTTCGTTCAGTGGAATTTTCGCTCCCTCTAAAAATTCATGGCTTGTCTCGTGTGCAAATGAAATTTTCTAGAGAAAATTGTGTGTCACCGTCTCAGCGTCTCGTCAAGACACGCGTTTATCAATGTTTAGGGGTAATACAGTGAAAAAACTTACCGAGAAAAGTTATGGCAACTAACGAATGTTACAATTGTACCACTCACAACAAATTGTTTCAATGTTCTCTGGACAGATTGTGATGCCTGAATTTACCAAACATTGCAAACTGTGCGAAGTATGTATAGAGAGTTTGGATCACCACTGTCTGTTCCTCATGAACTGTGTGGCAAGAAATAACCACAGGGCTTTTGTGTGCTTCATGACTGAAATATTAGTGGCCAATGCGCTGTTTGTGAGGGCGGCAGTTTCTTGTGAGTTGAGTTTGTAGCTAAGAGAGATAGTTGAAGGCCCACTAACCTACATGTCGTCAGTGATTGTTAATTATAAAATGCAACTGAGATACTACGTGCGGCCTGACTGATCAAAAATGTGTTGTGTATTGTATTGGTAAACCTAAAAAAAATTTAAACATATTTTGTTCAAGTTCAAGTTATTTTATTAAAGCAATAGACTGCATTTTCTATCTTTGTTGGGAGAACACTCGAAATGTTTTTGAGTGTCCCCTAACATCCCAATTGGCTTATTACGCTCTAGTAAACCGATCGCAAGTGCACTCTAATGCTTAAAAGGACTTTTCCAAGATACCTTGATATACTTCTGACCTTCTTCTCTCTCTCTCTCTTTTTTTTTTTTTTTTTGATGTGTAATTTTTCATATCAATTTTGTGAAGTTTGACTAAGCCTTTCTTTTCCACAAATAGATTTTAACTTAAAGGTATTTTTGGGAGAGGCATCTTCATTCGGGGTAAGTAAGAATACTGTTGCTAACGGTTAAATGAGCCAGCAAGAATTTGGAAATGATTGTAAGAAAAAAAATTGGCTAAATTATTCTTAAACTGATCACTGAAAACTATCTTTTACTTTTTTTTTTACTATTTTAGGAGGCTATGAGCCACGATGTCTATGTTTCAGTTCTCTTTATTCTCAATTGTATTGGATTGTTCTATGTATTTTTCGTAAGTCCTATGATTGCTTGTTTGTTTGTTTTGTTGTTGTTTTTTCACAGTTGAAAGATGATAATGAAATGTCGTTCATAGGACTTTATTCCATAACATATGCAGTAACAATTGAAGTTCAATGAAAAAAATACTGCTGTAACGCTATTTAGAAAATCTGGTGTCAACATTTCACTCTACATTAGCTGTAGAAGCTTAGAATTTTACATCAATGTATACGAGCTAATTCTGTTTGATATCATTGTTATATCATGTTTAAGATTGTCTCACTTTGTGTTATGTTACTTTATCTCATCTCATCTCATCTCATCTCATCTCATCTCATCTCATCTCATCTCATCTCATCTCATCTCATCTCATCTCATCTCATCTCATCTCATCTCATCTCATCTCATCTCATCTCATCTCATCTCATCTCATCTCATCTCATCTCATCTCATCTCATCTCATCTCATCTCATCTCATCTCATCTCATCTCATCTCATCTCATCTCATCTCATCTCATCTCATCTCATCTCATCTCATCTCATCTCATCTCATCTCATCTCATCTCATCTCATCTCATCTCACGTTTTATTTCGTTTCAACTTATCTTATCTTATTTCATCCCCAGTTAACATTTTTCCAGTTCAAGGTTATTACTGACGGTGGTACAACATATTACTCATCAGAAGGCGGCACAATGCACAGGTATACCAATCTGTTAACGATTATACGAGTAGAATTTTGCATTTTATTTTTAACTTTAGGGAAAGTTTAGCTGACAAGGTTTTATGATAAATGCTTTCCATAAGGATACCATGGGTACAGTTACACACTGGACAGAATTTAAATTCTCGAAGTGGTCATACTCTTCCAACTGCGGTCGATCCTCACATCTCTCTGCTAAAGAAATATGAAAAGCAAACATTTCTGACGAACGTAGTTGTTAAATTGGAGAGAACTAAACTTAAGCCTCTTTATCTCCTACCCCTCCCTTGTAGCCGTGGTTTTTTTTTTTCCGTTGTGTTAAGAGGGAAATTGGTACTTATCATCTCTTCGGCCTGTTGCCATGCAACAAAATTAACTATTCTTTGTTTATTTATCTGCTTGGTTGTTGTTTTGTTTTTCCTTTAATCCTGGTGCAGAACGTGGAAAGACCTTTGGGTTCTCAAAGGAGTCTCGTTGTCTCAAAGGATGAAAATCTTCTTTCAATTTCTTGTCGGGGAATACTCATTTTACAAGAAAATGAAGACAAAAAAGGCACAGAGACTTGTATAGTTGTTGTTCCTTGATGCCATGGAACGGAAGACAGTCCAAGATCAAGACCTCGGTTTGGAGATGTTATGTGCTGGGTTCTCCGACGGTGGACCTCATATCACAAGAACGAAGGGGAATTTGAACACATATCATAAAAGATGCTGAGAATTGCTCCGAAAATCTCATCTTTTCATGGCAACGTGCGCTTGTCACCAGTTCATTGAATGAAAGTTGCCGTTGCGTTTGACAAACACGTTGGTAACAATCTAGGTTACGACAAAAACAGATAGGATTTCTGTAGCGGACCCAGAGAAACAAATCTAATTACACATTTTTCGCTATTTTCATAAACGAATCGTAAGAATATGAAATATTTACTCCATCCATCCCATCGTTGTTACCACTGAGACGATAAAAATCGAAAAAATTACCTTCTCTCGAAATTTGGTACCACTGTATCTAGAGGTTCCTTCATAAGGGGCATTTTAAGGTATAATTATAAGATTATATCAATGATTATAATAATAATTTTAAGGGTTTTTTTTTTTGCAAAGGCTGTTAGTGTTAACTTTTAAATGTTGCAGTTTGCTTTTATAGTGCTAGTCTGTCGATGTATTATTTTGCTTTGTGGAAATGAGTGAAAAATTAGCAACTCGTACATAAACTATGTGAATGTTTTGTCTGTACTAAAAGCTGCTTCATCGAGTCGTTTATAGTAACTGATGAATTAGGTGCGATATTTCTCCATCTCTAAGAGTTGTCAGTACCCAACTTTCAGGGGACTCAGTGTTCTTTAAGAAAAGCTTGGAGAAACAAAACAAGGCCTCTGTAAGGAATAAACTATGGTGCCCATAGGAGCTACAGTACCGAAAGGTTTTGCATAATTCTATGTCACTGAAAATTTCACTGTCATTATCCCCAACTCTTTGACCCTTTGAGAGCGACTACCATCTATCTTCTCCTTACAGTATCACCCCTAAGTCACTCATTATGGTCACGAGAATAAAGGAAATGATCACCAACTAAACCAACTTTCTTGGTTAAGAAAAATTTACTCGTCAGCACCTGTTTGGAGGAGAGTAGGAAGAATATGCAAACTGATCTAGGGTGTAAAGAGTTAAAGAGCAAAGTTATTCAAGTTGAGGTTTGGATTTCGTGGTAGAGGCAGCAAATGGACTGACTGCCGAGAAACCGATTAAGTAGGAAAGAAATGCGAATGTGGTGATCCTGCACTACCTTTGGCTTTCTGCTCGTTATCAGTTGGTCTGCCCTACAATAAGTTGTCCCTTACGGTCTGTTACTTTTTGCGCCGTTATATTAAATCTCTGTCGTGTACCCAATGCAGCGGACATAGGCTGTTGTGCACCAGAGTTCGGGAAGCGTCAACCAAAGTGTAGAAATCGACAACGCAAGTTGATTCAACAGCGTTTCATGCGATTGTCAACCTGTCTGAATATTATACACTTGCGGTGAAAACTTAAAAGTGGAAATTACAATGTACAAGATCTAAAAATGGGCCGAGGTAATTACAAAAGAAGCGAAATCGAAAGGAAAACGAAACTAAATACGATAGGCTGCAACTTCTGTCTGATTCTGTCTTCAAGGGTTTAGAGAAACTCACACGTTACGTAACTTGAACAAGTGAAACTTACGTGAAATCTCTGATCTAACTCCGTCGATCTCCTAACTTCAACTGCCTCAAAACTCAAGGGGCGCACATTTATATGCGTATCATTGTCGTGTACAATTGTAGACTGGTTTAAACAGGAATGCTAGCTACGTAAGTGGTTCAAACTGTGAACAATGGTGTCTGGAAAATAGGGGCGTAAACTCGACAAGGAAACAAAACAGAAAGCTATCTACTTCTAGAAAATCAAAAGAAAGGCAGTTATGTGATCAAGTTCCTCTGTTCCTCTTTGATTGTTCATTACAATCTGGTTTGATCCATGTCTGTCGTACGAGTCAGCCCCCGCTTTAGTGTTGGTGCAAACCTCGGCGATATTGTGTTCAAATGCATCAGGGAAGCTTTAAATTCACCGAACCCTTGCCGTGATCGCAGTTTTTATAGATGTGAGCTTCGTTTATGTTGCATCTCAAAGGCGGGCACTTGCGGCTGGAAAAGATTTTTGCGCACGAAAGGTAGATCATAACGAACAATGTGCGGAGAGAGGGTTTTAATGTGGAATGAATCTTTTACGTGTATTTTGCACGCGGCGATCGCGCTCCACGGGCGAAACGTGGACAGTGCCATAGAGATAGTATCATGTAAGATCAGTGGAAGTGTCCTATCTCTTACCAGTCGTTTCCAAAACAAAGGAGTTAAAAACATGGCTGATGATCAAGGGAATCAAGACAGTTTGAGACAGTTTGTTGCCGATGAATGTAAAGCTCAAGCTACAGAGGTAAGTGCATAGCATATGATCTTTGGTCAGACATAAGAGAACAGAAAATGGCCATTTTTTCGTGGCGTTATTAGACAATGAATTACTCTCTGATCGATGAGAAACTTACACAGAACCCTAAATGCTTTTATCTCCTCGCTCCCATCGGTTTTTTCTGATGTTTTCCTTTTCTTCTCAGCGGTCTGACGTTGAAAACCCTGAGAATGTGACTTTAGATGCCGAGAGAATGAATAACTTTTATCAGCGTGCGTTGAGGGAAAGCGAGCGGTGAGTAGTCTGATAATTATGTGATGTGACAGCTGCGGATAAACAAAGCAACTGTCACCGTTTCTCTTCTTCATTGTCGAGTACATAATTGAGCATAATACCACTCGTATGCCTTCAAGTTATGTTTTTTTGAATGATTTACTTTAAAAGAATACGGTAAAGGTTAACAAGATTAGTTTTGGAAAACTTTTTTCGAGGTTTGGTGCTCATCCTTGTAAGACAACTGTGAACGCATTTTCCTTGTTATTGTGGTTGCATATTTTTATTATTATTGTCATTATTATCATTACCATTATGGAGTATGTCTTTTAAATTGTATCAATTCATCTTTTCTATGATACTCAAACTGTAGACAGGCTTTATTTTTTTGGTGGACCTATTGCATATGAGAGTTGATCCTTCACAGTTTCGATGGCTTTGAATAATTTAGGGGGTATTGCAGTTTAGATCTCTGAGCAATGACAGCTCTTACAACAAATCAAAACCACAGGTTTTCCACTGTCACCCACTTCTTTGATATTCATTCTTATATATGGGTATTTTAAAAGCTAATGTGATGGCTAACTGCCAATTTTTCCTCATAGCTTGGTCGATTAGAAGACTGCCAAGGTTTTCTTGTACAGTCATTAGTTCAACACCTGTTTAGGCCTGATTGTTGTTTGTTATTTCAAGGCTTCACATTCTCAACTTCTCATGTTCTGGAATAGCCCAATTTTGATGTTTAAAATTTTGAGTAAAATCGAAGTGCATTACTAAGAAGGTCTAAGTCCAAGAGGGTCTTCCCAGAGTCTTGTGCTGATGTCTATGAGTGCAATTATTTTTTACTTCTAAATATCAATGATAATAAAGTAGCATGATCTGATAGTGCCATACAATCCCTGATAGATCCCGACTGATATGCATTTTATTCTTGGTTTAGAATGAGCAATGAAGTCACAAGATCCCACATGCAGAGAAGTGAACTTCATAAAGAACTTGGAGCAGACATGTTTAAGAGCTGGACACAAGATCATGCTCAAGAGGTCCTCAGTTCTGAAAGGTATGAACTGTGGAGTAAAGAAGAAGAAAAGGCAGAAGAAGCTCTTAAACAGCTGAAGAATTCATCAATCTGTGAAGATGAAAGCAGTGATGATGCATCACATTGACAAACGCTATTATATTGGAACATATGGTAACAGAAATTAGGAATCCATGGAAGTCTTGGTATTTAAAAATGTGTATAGATTGACTGTTATATTTTTGGTACATGAATTTGTGGCTCACAGCTAATGACTTAGAGTCTAGCACAAGGTTGTACCATTTTTGTTACCAATATAAGGACACAACAGACACTGGTTGTGATGAAAACAACATACTATAAAAGGCCTGTTTACATGGAGGTTGGGAATCCCCGATAGATAAGGTAACTTGCCTTTCCATGTAATCTCTTATTTTATCTTGATCACATTTACACGACAGGCGTGGTGAGTCTCACCCAGGCAGGATAAGCCCAGTCTGCCAGGTAGGGTAACCCTGTCAGTTGGGGTGACAATTTGCCATGTAAAGGTCTCAAGGTGGGGTAATCTGCCTAGTGGGGGTCGGGTTCATGTTGCAAAGATGTGAAATGAGCAAAACAATAACAAAAAACATGTGTTTCAAAACTTTGTGCATTTCGTAGCCGTCCTATACAGAACTAAATAATAAACCACCAACTTTTACATCCTCTCAGCAATGAAACCCTGAGAGCAATTTTTGTCATGTTTTTACTTTGAACTCAATACGACATTCACATGTTATGCTAAAGTGAAGACATTATACTGTCACAAATGCTTAATGCATCCAGTTATTGCCAAAAATCTTAGAAGGAAAAAAATTTTTTTTTTCGGCAACCATATACCTCAGGTCATGGTAGTGACATCTTAACTTCCTCGGTGCAAGCACAACAACAACCTCAAGATATTTCCTGGCATCCAGTGGTTATAAGATTGTTTGTCTACACTTGCTGTGTTTTCAACCATGGCTCGACAGGTTACCTCACCTACCTGGGTCCCCCACTTCCATGTAAACAGGTCCTAAATTTGGTTTCAGTTATATGGACATTTTCTCTTCTGCAATCAACAAAGAAAAAACAACCAATTTATCAGTCACACAAAGCCAGACATTGGCAAAGTAAGAATGAAATAGTCATTGTGGAAATTTGACTGGTTAGAAGATCCTTTTTTTTTTTTCATCTAAGGCCTAAAATCAGCTGGAAGGGGTTAAATGAAATGTGTTCAGCCAGTCAGTTTTAAAGCTAGTTTTGATGATCAATTGAAAAAAGTAAGTCAGCAGATTCCCTTTTGTTTTACACTTTCATTCTTTTAATCAGTGGACTTTACATTCATTTTATGTTGGAATATTATTTAAAGAATCAAGTCCAAAATATCATTTTTCCTCAAAGAAGAAAACCTGCTTCACATGGCACTTCCACATTTTACTTCCAATTTTTATAATCTTTCTTGTTCAATGATGGTCCAAATTTAGGAAGTTAGGATTCACAACACATTATTACTGGCCTTTTTGAAATTTCCTTATTTAATATTATTTTAAAAAATTGGTTCCTTCTATCAAATAGTAGAAGAACACAATGATGGTTGGGAAGTGAAAGATAGACATTAATTTTTTTTTTTTCAATTTCTTAATCAGTGGTTTTTATTCTGTAAAAATATTTCTAGATTTAAAGATAACTAATTTTAAGATAACTAAAAATTTGTTATTTTATGTTACATACGTGTAGAAAATAAATGATTGTATCAACTGAACCTTAATAGTTCAAACAGACTTCTGTACTATTTCTCCTTAAAGTTAATGGTGTTTAATTAATTATGTTTGATGTCTTCTTGCTTATAATTTTTTGCTATTTTAAAGTTAGATTTTTTCTTTCACCAATCCATGCCATGTCATTTACACACTGCACAAGAAAGACTTGTGTGTTACTCAGCTATTCCGGGGGGAACTTCTAGGCTCAATTACCAAAACAAAGGGAATTTAAGTCATGTTAAATTTGGAAAAAGCAGTTGGCATTACTTTACTTTACGCTAAAATGAAATTTTTTGATCGGCCAGAAGAGAAATTCTTTATTAAGTAATGACTATTTTTTAGAGAAATAATATTTCTTTAGGATAAAAAATTCTCATCATGAATCTCGAAATTAAAGGCAGCTATAAGAATCAAATAATGAATACAGAGGTTAAGTGTACGGACACGTGAAGTGATTCAACTGGATGAAAAGTTGTCATGATACAGTGTTCAAACGATTTCTGAAACTTTTTCCCTTGCATAGAAATGGTTCAGTTAAAAACCCTAACATTCTTTTGCCAGTTATAGTTGTGAGTTGAGGTAATTAATCTTAGAGAACGCTATCCTTTCTAAAATAATTTGAAATTTGTTAAGGTTGCTGATTTAACGACACAAGAAACTGTGTTGATTCAAAATAGCATCAGCCTTAATTTTAACGGAGAGAAAATGCAAATACTTCATCTCCCTTCATACGAGCTTCAGCCTACTACGCAGACACTGTCATGCTCCTCATGTCACGCAATCACTCTTCCCCATTAACAGCAGACGTTGGCGTGGAGGAATGACTGCGCACACAACGTCTGCTAGCAGGCTATATAGGCTGTTTGGCTCGGAGGTCAGTTTTCACTCCTTTTTCTTTGTAGTCCCAAATTTTTTTCTAAGTACGCTTTTATCAGTTTAGAGTGGATTTTTTCTCTTAAAATACATTCAGTATTCTTGGAAGGTGGCAAAGGGTGTCTACGTGACGCGTAATTAAGCCCAAAATAAGTACGTGACGCGTAAATTTTACAGAGGGAGGGTGAGATTTTGAATTTTCCCTTAAAAATCCGTGACGCGTGAAATACTGTTTCAAGTGCTCGTGACGTGTTAATGTTTCTAAAATTCGTGTTTAAGACGGGATTAAGACCCCCCTCTCCCCCATTCCTTTGCTACCCTCTTCTCGATTGACTAGTGGCGAATCTTCCCCATTATTTTTAATAAAAAAAAAAAAGAACAGGAATCGCAGAAGGAAGAAAAACCGGCTGGGCAAACGACATAAAACCGGGTGTCCCCTTTAGCTCAAGGTCTGGATCTGCCTCTGTTGACGACTATATACACTCCCTACACGATGGCTTCCATATATTCATCGTCTTGTTTCAGTGACGAGTCATGCTTTGTTAGACCATTTCTTTCTGAATTGTGATTTAACTCGGATGTTTTTAGTCCAAAAGTAAAGTTAAATAAACTGTCCTTCCGTAAAGTTCCTTTATGGATTAACGCATTGTTTGCTTGTTTCTTGAGCTTTGCTAAAAGAAGCAGTTCTTTTTTGTGGCGTTGCCTCAAGTGCTGTATACGACGCGAGCAGTTGATCTTGAATATGGCAACGATTCTGGACAAATCAGCCTTCATTTCCTCTTTGTGTCTGGACAACTCCACTCGTCTTGGAAGAGAATGACTCTCTGCACCTACAAGGAAGCAAAAACTGAATTCAAGTACATTCTGCCAACAGGGATCTTACAGAGGTGATTTGTGGCTTCTGCCTTTGATTTTACAGAGCTAATCAAAACTAACAAAATTATCGAACGTGATTGGTTATCACCAGCCCGATTTAAGCACTAACTAATAGGACAGTGTACGCGTCATGCATATATGCTTGTAATTGGACAGTGACATAGGACAGTTAAAGGGACAGTTAACACGCTATTGACGCGCATTTCGCCGAGTCAGCTGTTTGTTTGTTTGTTTGTTTGTTTTAATCAGAACGTATAAATGATGTCTACTTTCTTTCTCAAATGTTGTCATAGGTTTGATTAATTGGTAACAGGACTTCATGTCGTCCAATTCTGTCTGTAATTATACTCGTGATAAACAAATCGGATTCTCGCTTCGCGTTCGCCCGATTCTGTTGGACTCCACTCAGTCCTGTTATAATTGTTAGTTAACGCTCCTGTATTTCATGAACATCTTTGAGAAAAATTTGTAGACTAGAGATGAGATAGTGAACTACAGGAGCACAGCTCTGTTTTATTTCCAATGTCTATCACTGGAAATTAAAAAACCATCCACTTTAGTTTGGTTAGCGTGCGCTGCTTACTCGTGATTCTATGCGCAATAGGGATTCGCAGTGAATTACTGAGAACAATACTCCTACAGTTCACTATGTCATCCCCTTTTTCCCAATTTTCCATTGGATGTCCATGAAGTTTATTAGCTCTGTGAAATCAAAGGTAGTTTTAGTGCTATAAGATGAACATCAACTTTGTAAACTTTGACAAAATCATATCAAAAATTATATTTTGGGGGACTAGCTGATATAAGATAATGATCAGTATTCTCTTAGTGCTGAAAATACCTTTTTTCCTGAACTTTACCCATCCCATCTTCTTAGCAAACTCAAACTTAGCTCCTACTAGCCACATCACACCAAGGATTACACCACAGACGATCAGCGCACGCACGTACGTGGGAAACCTCGGGTCAAACAGACTGCTCGAGCGCTCGACAGACATGCTTTTAGGCGTAATCTATGGAAGGAACGAAACAAAATTTAGGGTATGCATGAACTCACAAACCTGCGATAGGCTGACACTTCTCATTTTCTAGAGGGAGTGTACCAACACTGCGAATCGCTTCATACTTCTGATACTAGGACAAGCTCCATGCAGCTGAATGCACCATGTGACTAGTTAGTATTATATACTTAGTCAACAACAACATTTACATTTCACTTTTCAGAGGTGGATCCAGGAATGTTTCATAGGGGATCGAAACTTCGATACCCCTAAAGACACATGAAGTTTTGTTCAAAAGAGTTTCAAACTAACGCGCTTTTTATTATAAAGAAAAAAAAGAAGAAGAGAGAACGACAAAAGCAACAATAAAAATAAGCAAAAAAGACCCGAGGGACCCAACCCTGCCCCACTTTTCTAGACCCGCCACCGCAAATCCTATCGCCTCAGTTGTCGCTGACTAAAATCGGGAGATAGAATAATACCTCGATTGCTTGCACGTTATTCTTCACAATCTTGGATATCTCAGAGCGCTGCTCGTTGACGTATTTTTGAAGACACTTCTGTATCTTCTTGGCCTCTCCTCCTAGCACCACACCGTATGCAGCCGAGTAGTCCAGTAGCTTACTGATGCGTAGATCCCGTCGATTAAATAGATGTTTCTTACTCCCTACCGTGTATGCATCGATAAGCATTCCTTTTACCTCTCGACTGGTTAGAGCTTCGTAAACTTCTTGCAGATTAGTGTACTCCTTGCCTAGGGGAAGAAGCCCAGTTAATTTAAGATATTTCAAAGAAAGTTCAGGATTAACTAGAAACGCACATCCTAAATAGTTCTATTTGAGGTTGTGTTTGTGATCGTCCTAATCATAAACAAAAACCGTGGGTTATGAGAAATAAGAGCGATGGCCTTTTCTATACGTATTACCCAGAGCCGAGGAGGTTAGATTTTTAGAAGGTTGAATTTCAACAACTTCTTATAAATAGAACAAGAAAGATGGTAAGTTTTGAGCTCGGTAAAGAAATAGAGAAAGATGTTTTTCGTCTTGTTTCGAGCGTGGGACAAAGAACAAATTCTGAGTCTCCATGAGGAATCGTATCTCAGACCTTCGGATTCCGCGCTCTGATACTCTACCACTGAGCCACAAAGGCTCCACGGTGAGTGAGGGCTATTACGAAGTTCATATGACACGCTTCCTGCTTACTGTTAGGATCAGCAACGAAAAACTTCTTTCTGAATTTCTAATAATTAGAGAACTTAGTTAAATGACTCAAGTTTGAAAAGAAGTGGAGGATCTGGCTTCCTGCTGTCAAACTTAACATCGAAGTACCTTTATTTAGTGAAATGTCATTTTAGATCAACACCAAAGTGCTCATCACAGATACATCATTTACAAAAATATCACTTACCACCGGGGTTGACTCGGGCATTTTTCCTGATAGCAATACGATACCCGGATGAATTCTGAATTGCAGCAATCTGCAAACAAACGATACTTATATATATATATATATATATATATATATATATATATATATATATATATATATATTTATATATATATATATATATATTGGAAGTCTGCAAGTCGATTTTCGCGTGGAACAGTGCTCAATACGTTGAAGCAGAGCAGAATAAATATTATGAGAGGAAAAAAGGACGCAACTACATTTCCCGACAAGCCTGTTTCGTGAATCGCTTAAAAAACCCCTGAAGAGTGAAGCGATTCACGAAACAGGCTTGTCGGGAAATGTAGTTGCGTCCTTTTTTCCTCTCATATATATATATATATATATATATATATATATATATATATATATATCTGGAATGTTTCGAACTAATGTAAAAAAATTAATGCTAGATGCTATTTGATACTTCTTTCTAAACGGAGTTTGGTCGGCTCTTTACAAATGGTTTCGAAATGTGTCAACGTTCATTCCGCCCTCAACGCCAGATACTCTCATTACTTTTTATTTGACATACCGCTTGCGTAATATGATCGTCTAAATTAGGGATGCTCCAAAAAGAATCAATAATGGAAGAAGTTTCGAATAAACTGAGAGGAAGTCACCTTAAGGGTCAAGCAGGGAGTAGTTTGTCGTCCTTAATCTGGTGCGTATAAATTAATTGGTAGGTTTTGCTATAAGGTTTTTCGCTGTTCTCTCAAGAAGCGTTCTTCTTAACTGCTCTTTTGCACACTTGATTCCAAAAATGTTTTTTGTTCAAAACGGGTAGGTCAATGTAACAAAAAGAAAAAAAATTTTCTTCACGTATTTGTTTTCTTTTTGATGAGAAAAATGAAAACAATTGTGTAAAAATTTATGCACACCTTGGTTCCATATAAATTAACTTCTTTGTCCAAAATTCTCGCGGTCAGCAGTGTTGTCATGGTAGAGTTAAAGCAAGTCACCATGATGACGCCTAAAAGGATCCAAGTTAAACACACCAGGCGACCAAACGGAGTCCTTGGAATCCGATCACCGTACCTACCGAATAAGAACGAAAGCAGTTGCACAATTAAAAGCAGACAGATCGACCTAACAGTAAATTGTTTCCAACTAACGTTACAACAAATTGTCTACTTGTTGTATGTGCATCTGATCTATTCACAAGTCGATCAGTTTGATCGGTGGACCATTGTGTTAAAGGGGATAAGTTTCTAAAGAAATTGAGATGCTTTATCGGTGGGAGAGTATAACAGGGTAATTTAGTATTATCAACTGAGTTGATAACGTAAATTGGCCACTGTTAAGAGTTTCAAAGCCGACATTTCGAGCGTTAGCCCTTCGCTCTGACGAAGGGGTAACGCTTGAAACGTCAGCTTTGAAATTCCTTACGAATCATTCTATTAGTTTGGCGTTCCGTCAATCAATCGGTTTGTTATTTCGTTGTTTGGTCCGTCAATCTGTTGGTTAGTCGTTCAGTCCGTTAGCCAGACGGTCAATCAGTCAGTCAGGAAGCCGGTTGGTCAGACAGTCAATCCACAGTCAATCAGTCATCCTGGCATTAACTCTCTTACTTGCTCGCTCGCCCATTTATTCCTGTATTCGTTCCCTATTTCCTCCATCAATTTATTCAGATCATCAGTCATAGTTGTCTTACCCGAGAGTTGTCATGGAAGCAAACGCCCACCACATCGCTTCCCAGCTTCCTTGTAGAATATTGCGAGGAAAGTGGCGTTCATTAGCTGCAGTTTCCTTTGGAAGTAAAACAGAACACAGTATATCTTGAAAAGTATGAAAAACGGTTCGTGTTCTTTTGTTCTACCGAAAAATTGAAAAGAAGCTTTGTCATCAGGCTTTGATATCTCGAGGGAGAAGAAACGGCAAAATAGAAAATTGCTGTTGTACACAAATGGCGGTGGGTGACAAAGAGATTACTCACCACAAACCACATGGCCAAACTGGACACCCATAGCATGGCAATGGACAAAAAGAGTACTGGGAAACAAAAGGCCAGTGACTTGAGCAGTAGATTTGCAGCGGTTCCCTTTTTATCTCCGATTATGATCAGTGCCAAGCCTGGCGACTGGACGAAAGGAACAAATCCGTAATTGTCTGAAAACCGAGTCTGATCCATGAAGCCATAGACTGGAAAATGAAGCTCAGTTTTCTCCTCAAAGCCGTTCTTGAACTGAACAAGCCCTGATTTCCTGGCAGGACGTAGAGAGGCAGTGTACTCAAAGTCTATTCGTGAGGTTCCATGCTCAGAGCAGTTCCCACAGCAGGAATAAACAGATTCTTTTAGGATAGGAGTGATGATGCCGCTCTTGTTGGAATCGGGGCTGTCAACGTAAGGCGGGTTGATCCACCAATTAGAGAAGACAGTGCTGTAGCAGTTACACGTTTCTGGAAGGAAACAAAAGGAAGTAAAATGTTTTTTAGTCGATCATGAGCTCGTGATGGGGGATCGGATTTACTTCTTAACAGCTTAGGTTTTCCTACGTCTCTTGACAGGTTGAAATAAAAATCTGCATGCTAATCCCTGAAAATTACATTTAAAAATGCGATAAGTAGTGTTTTGACCTGCTAACTGAATACAAGCATTGAAATGATCCTCTAGGAGTGAGTTGTATTTAAAAATTTTCAAAAAGGAAGCCTGAATAGAAGTATGAATTGCAAAGGCACTCAAGGTTGCAAAGGAAGATTACAAATCTTGTAAAATACCTGCTCGTATAGGTTCACTCTTCACCCCGTCTCCCTTGATGGTAAATGCCAGAACTTCGATCTCGTATCGGGTGTATGCATCCAAATTTTCCAGAACAGCAGACAAGCTTGAGCTTGATACTGTTACTATCTTAGTTTCCGACTCTTCCTCTGGCGTCTCGTCTGCAGTGGCTATCGCCTTGTACAGTACTCTGTAACCACGCAGTATACCATGGACGTAAAATTCATCTGGGATTGGTTTCCACTGTACCTCGATTTTTGTGGGACTTGTCTTGTTCATCGCTTGAACATTGACAGGAGATTGACTGGGAACTAGTGCAAGAAAGAAAGATGTTCCAATTTTTTTTGAGAGAAAATACATCACTTGAATTGAAAAACTCCCACAAGAGGCTGATATATCGAAAGATACTGCCAGGGTCTGAGAGATTGTCCGATTAAAAAAGCATAAGGCTGGAAAAAGAAGCTTTGAGAGCAACTTTGAGTGTTGAAGAAAATCTTGCTGGCAAGCATTCAGGCTCTTCGAATGATCAGCTAGTTAGGAGAGGTTTACATGTCTCATTACTCATCACACATAGTCAATTTCCAATATTCTTCGAAAATCGTAAGTAGCTTCTTCTAAAGGGAAAGAGGAGAGAAGCAAAGAAAAACCGAGAAAAGGAAGGCAATTATTCTCCTTCTTTGAAGATGGTTTCTTGCTGTATTACTTAGAGCAACGGGTCGTTATCAACTTATCGTAACTTTCCATGTTGCTACCCTTTGACCAGACGGAAATTAAATCATACTAAGTACATCACCGAGAAACCGTTTCGCCAAAAGCTGGTTTTTGGTTAGAACTACAGTATATACGATTTTCGCTCGCCTTTGCGGACTGAAAATCACATTCGCATTTGCCTAATAGAAATTGATCTCAGGTACATAATGTACTCGGAGAACATCGATGAATAGACACACTTGTAATATCTTTCTTTTTCATCTGTCTATGAAACCGCCGAGAGAGATGTGCCTCAACAAAGTTAGGTGGATCTAAGTTAAAGGCAAAAACTCACCGTATTCATCAGTTGAGACTTCGATTTCCTCGCTAACAGCACCTTCGCCAGCAGCCGTGAAACCAAGAACTTGTATTTTATATTTGGTGTAAATCCACAAATCTTTTAGATGGACGGATCGTTCATCAGGAAGAACCTCTCTGATCTCATACGTGTCACGTGACTCATTGAATCGCCAGAACAGCACTCTAAAGCCCAATAGTATCCCATGGACGTTGTCACGTGGTATGTCTTTCCAGTCCACAAGGAGACTCGTGTGGCTTGTGTTACGAGCTTTTAATTTTATCACAGGTTTACTAGGAACTTAACAATAATGTCATACGTTAGCTTTTATTTATATTGGTTGGTCAAGAAGTGCAGTGAAAAGTCTCATGCAAGCCAAGCCAGATCGTGCTGGACGCTGATTGCCAATAGCACGATCACATGAAATCCTTAGGATACCCGGTTTTTTTTACAAGGAAATCACAGGCGAATACAAGCATGGCTATAAACAGTTTTCAGAGTAAAGTATCCAAAGAGTACCTTCAACTGATCGCTGATAAAAAAAGACAAAAGAACAAAGCCAGTAAAGGCGTCTAATACCTTCACGAGTTCAATTCAGTGAATGAGTTTAGCCTTATTTATCGATACTATGATATTCTTAATCATTCGGTCTTGGCGTTTCTAACTTTTCACTTCACGGATAAAACTATTCTGCGCCTAAAACCTACTCAGGTGAAGGCAAGAGATTGTGATCTCTTGGTGAACGCCAATGAACAGGGAACTCAAATCGTACCCCTTAGCCATCTATATTTTGTTGTGCCGTTGTCCTTTTTTCTTTTTTTTAAACATTTTTTAAACTTTAAAAAAGAAAGTACGGTGAAGAAACGCATAATACTGAAAGCGAAGTGAGGTAGAACGAGTCACGTGACTTACCATCTTCACTTGTCCTTATCACTAAAGGTTGTAGAGGTGAAGGACCGAGTCCTTTACTGGTGTACCCGGCCACTCTGATGACGTACCACGTGAATTTCATCAAGTTCTCAAGGGTAGTCGACGTCCTTGAACCGTGGACTGTCTGATGCAAGACTGTCTCATAAGAGCTATTAGAGAAATATGAAATCTTGTAGCCCTGGAGAATGCCATTTCTGTGTTGTGGAGGGATATGTTTCCACTCAAGAAACAGAGAGGTGGAGCTTCTGTTGAAACCGGTGACGTTGGCAGGGAAGGTATCGGGTCCTGCAAAAGTTAACGTAGAGATTACCATGTCTGCTGAAGTATTTTAAAATTTGCAGCTATGGTCTGTAGTTGCTAGTTTATCTAAGGTAGTGTGATGTTTACCTTTTTCGATTTATTTATTTATTTATATGTATATTTTTTCTATTTATATATTTCCTAGTTGTAGTGCTTTCGTTATTAGTCAGGAGCTTGCGAATATATCTGTTATAGATGTTGCAAGATGATATATGTATAAATGTATAAATTTATACTACATGCATATATTTTATGATATTCTTGTGTATTAATTGTTGTTGCAGTCCAAACATTCAAATCTGACATGGTCTGGATGCGTTTTGCCTATTCGCTTCAGAACGCCGTAGTCCTTTTTGGGGAAGGGAACGCGGCAAAGAAAGTTTCTGCTTTTTTTCATCTTAACCGCCGAGGACAACTTACAAACGGAAATTCATCGAGTTAAACTTGCATATGCAGCTTTATATACAGTCATTATCTTACTGTCTTCATCCGTGGTCACTGCCACACATTTGCTCTCAATTCCACTTCCTTTGCTGGTAAAACCTTCAACAGATACCATGTACGTTGTGAACTTGCGTAAATTGGCAATAACCGCTGACGTTGCTGACTGGTTGACTACAGTTTCGCTCCATGTTCGATTATTCGGGGCGTCTGCTGTTACATAAGATATTTTATAACCCAGGAGAACACCGTGTGCATAGCGCGAGGAGATTGGGTTCCACTGGATCACGATGCTTGTGGATGTAAGATTGTTGCCTTTAATATTTCCTGGGGGCCGGCTAGGGACTGAAAGAAAGCGAGGAAGGAACATAAGAAAAAAAAACTATCGTCAAAAGTTGAAGTTATGCCAATAAAAGTGGGGCATCACGCACAAGAATCTTATTCATAATTTCCAATTCTCTGGTGGGGACCGAAGAGGTTCAAATATCGCCATAAAAGGAGGACGTAAAAGATTGAAATTGAGGAAAAGGTCCTGTTTTACTCAGCTTCAAATGCGCCATTTGATTCACGTCCTCAAATCCCGCTTTGTTGCACACCAGAATAAGTGTCAGTCGTATCTCTAGGAATTTTTCTCTTATCTTACTATATTTCTTGATATTTATTTCTTACCGTCCTCCTGTGTCCGCTCGAAGATTGTATCCGACAGTGGCCCGTCTCCTTTAATTGTAAAAGCGCTGACTTGAATCTGATATGATGTGAACTTAAGCAGGTTTGTAATTAGAGCCCAGGTTCTGGTTGGTTCAGTCGGGTATGTACGAGTAATGACGTCTTCGTATCCATTAGGATCCAAGTTAGTGTAATGAACATGGTAACCCAATAGAATTCCATGAATGAACTGTTTGGGGATCGGAGACCAATTAACGTAAATGGTTGTGCTGCTTTTGTTACTGGCTTTTACATCCCAAGGCGATGAACTAGGCTCTGAAGAGAGCATCAAATGAAGAAAATTTGACTTCGTAAATTTCACTCTGCGTGCAAAGCTTAATTTATGGTGATTGGGTATACCAACCATGGTTACTCAGGTGAAAGCAACAGCCTACGGAAGCTAGCGACACACACAAAAAACTTAAACGCGTTTTAACCTTAAATCACACAAGTAAACTGAAAAATACTGCTTTAAATGAATAGCAATATTTGCACTTGATCCTAACTTGAGACTACTCCTAACTACTGAGATACAATCCATTTTAAAGCACCAAGGGGAGAAATTGTTCATAAACATGTCTGACGATACAAAAAAAATAATGATCAACGTAACTTTGTTGAGAGATATATCAGTAGAGACAAAGTAAGTCTATGAATGATTTATTGAGGTACTAATTTTCAACAAACGAAGTGATAGAGGGATTATAACTTAACGAGTGAAATCCGCTATTCTGGTTTCTACTGGCTTTAAAATTGCAGAATGTTCAACTTAACTCGAATTGTGTAAGAGCTGGCTAGATATAAGAAACGAGTGACACTTTTTAATCAATGAAAAAACAGTAGTATAAATGAGGTAATTAGTACTTACTGTCTTGATCTGTTTTTGTTTCAATTGGTTCACTGTCCACTCCGACTCCTCGATGATTGACACCTGCCATTCTAAACTGGTAGGTGGTGAACTTCTCCAAGTTAGTCACATGTGAGGACAGTCTTTCCCCGTCGATTACCTTCTTCCATAGCCTTTTTTCTAAGTTATCACTTCCTAATTCCCAGAAAGTAACTCTGTATTCCAGAATTGGACCATTGGAATACTCGTTCGGAATTGGTAGCCATGTTAGGAGAACTGAGGTGGAGCTTGAGTTAATAGCGGTGATGTTGACTGGTGCCATAAATGGGACTACAAAAATAACACAACGGAAATGATTAATGTTTAGTACAGCGTTTACCGAAAAAAGATTTACTTAGCATGATCGGTTGTTTTTGGTAAGTTGAAGATCATTTCGTAAACAGCAAAAATTAAAGAAAACGGCTTCCCTGGACTGAATATCCTTCATAATTAGGTTCACAAGTGTATGTTGTCTTTATCTGTTTGATTCTGTGGCAAAAAAAAGTAACACATATCTACCTGTCTTGTTTCTAAGTTGTAGAGAGCAATGGAGTGCGAAATTCAAAAGTCTAAGGCTCAATTCCTCACGCGGACGCAAGAGATAGCACTTAAAAACATCTTTTATTATTTTACTCCGGAGCTCAAACTAACCATCTTCCTTATTCTGCTTGTCAGGATACTTTCTTAGCAAATTTCACGAATCTTCAACATGAAGACGAGCTGCGGCTGAGGGAAAATGTGCATAACTGCTTTTGTGACACTAGATAACCCTTACCATCCGGTGAAGTGAGGTTTACAGGTGAGACCGTTAGTGTATTTTCTATTTTTCTGTCGATGTTGATGGCATCTTGAAGAGCGGTAATTCCTTGGTAGGGTTGGTGAAATAGGCTGACAGAGAAATCTGCGATGACGCTTCCGTGTCTTTAAACGAAAAACAGTAAATAAGAAGAAACGAAGAAATGGATCGAAAGACCAAGAAAACCAGGGAAGAAGGGAACTCATCGGGAAGAAAGCAACGGACGGAGAACATTAAGGAAGGAGAGGAAAGGCAAACAAGTCCGCGATCGACTAACAGGAAAATTTTGAATTTTAACGGAGAAGTCTGACAGAAATGAATAAATTGAAATAGTCAACAGGTATGTAGCCGTAGGATCAAATAATTTTATTTTTTAAATAATTTTGTTTTTCTGTGATCAGCTTTGACCACGTAGTAGTTTGCATCTCAAGTTCCAAACATGGTTAATATCAGTTGACAAATTTCTCTAAAAAACACAAAAGAAAAAAATTTAAAAAAAAACCAATAGTTTCCTACCTAAAGGTGAAATCTCCAACATCAGATACTGCCCATTCTCCCATAATCGCTTTAACCTAAAAGAAACCATCAATGTTTGCTACGTTGTGATTCATTGTGAAAAGTGTTGTTTTGTTAGGTTTACTTTTGCTTCTTCTTCTAACTTTTTAGAATTTGTTCCTGCCTAAAATTAACCTAGTCAGAAAGAGAAATTTCCCGTTTAATCTTCAACTTTGAAGGTTACTAAAATGATTAGTCAGCCACGTTTCAGATTTAGACATATATCTTCCGTGAGCAGTTAGTATCTAGGTGGCGCGCAATACGTACAACAAGGATAAATTATGACCTATACTACCACGGAAGAGTCGTCCTAACCGCACTTGAAAGTGATCTAATCAAAACTATGGAATGGTGTAATGATGCGAAATTCAATCACTTACCCCATAATGGATTTTTAACGTCAGCCTGTCAAAGCTCCGGCCTTTTCTAGCAGCTAAAGTTGGGTCCCATTTCTCAGACGTCAAGTTTATTGTTATCTTGAAAACAATATCTGAGGAAATAGTTTCCAGTAACAAAGTTGTTTCATTCCATAAAAATTTATGGGTCTTATGCAAAAGTTACATCAGAAAAGGCTTGAGGTGGATTTTTAGCGGAAGACTAAATGACGTATAGAGAAGTTACTGTTCAAAGTCTCGTTACGGTCATGAGTGAAGCCTATCATTTTAATTTTTATACTGAGCTTGCTCAGCTTTTCTTAAGTATTTTGTAACTCCTGAGTGTCTGAAACGGTAGCTGAAGACAACAAAAAGGTCAATCGATCTCAGATTATGCCGTTATCCCTTGACAATATCAAGTGGTCATGCATCGGTAACGTAACTGTCAAGGTGACACTGAGTTGCCCCAAACGAGATAGTAAACTGATCATGACGTTACAGCCTCATTCGCAGTCTCTTCATGGACGAGGTATAACGCTTTTGGGGAGATACATACTTTTATTTTGGAATTAATTTTTAGAATCAGATGTGACACCTTAAGTTTATCAAATAACCCGCAGAAAAAGGGAAAACGTACCTGGACATTTTTGCGTGTTACATGACTTGGACTCAATACTCGGACCCTGGCTACTGCAATTTCTTCCTCCGTGTGCGGGGGGCGGATTGATGCAGGAACGTCTCCTTATGAGCTTTCCTCCTCCGCAGGTTCGTGTACATGACTCAAATCCACTCCACTCGTTGTATCCCCCATGGATGGGGCAGGGGAATGTATTACATAATTTTACGTCTGTCTCTGGACCAAGGCTCGAACAATCTTTCCCACCGTGTTTAGGAACAGGATTGTTACACTGCCGAGTTCGAGTATGTCTTCCGACGTTACATGATTTGGTACATTCAGTGAAGTTTGACCACGTGCTATATCCACCATCTAAAGGACACGGAATCAAATAACAACTTTCGACATCGATGTCCAAACCATACAGAGAGCAGTTTTTACCTCCAAATTTTGGCGCTGGATTGGAACATAGCCTCGTTCTCCGATGAGTGCCATTGCCACAGCTTGTCGAGCATTGACTGAACTCCGACCACTGGGTGTAGCCACCGTGTATTGGACAAGGATGCTCGTTACATGCTCTTATTTCCTCAGCTGGTCCAAGTTTTGAGCAATTTTCGCCCCGATGTCGAGGTGCGGGATTGGAGCAGTTTCTTGTTCTATACATGGTGCCATTACCACATGACAACGTGCATTGCGTAAAGTTTCCCCAAACTGTGTATCCGCCGTGTATCGGACACGGAAAAACATTACAAAGTTGAATATCTACTGGGGCCCCTAACGAAGAGCAGTTCTTTCCTTTATGGCGAGGCTTCGGATTGGTACAGTTTCTAAATCGTGACATTGTCCCATTTCCGCAACTTTTACTACATGCACTGAAATTGGACCACGTCGAATAATTTCCGTGAACTGGGCAGGGGAATGCATTACAGCTTCGAACTTCTGCCGAGAGCCCAAACAATGAACAATTTCTTCCACCATGCTTTGGCGTAGGATTTGAACAGTTTCGTGTTCGTACCATTTTACCATTACCACAACTTTTAGAACAACTGCTAAAATTTGACCAAGGCGAGTAGTTTCCATGAACAGGACAGGGGAAGGTGTTACAACTACGCACCTCTTTTAGAGGTTCAAGCGCAGAACAGTTTTTACCACCATGTTTTGGAACAGGATTTGAACATGATCTAGTTCTGGTCTTTTTCCCATTTCCACAGCTTTTGCTGCAAACGCTAAAAAGTGACCAGGAAGAAAAATTACCATGTATCGGACAAGGAAATGCGTTACAACCTTTTACCTCCTTTGGAAGGCCTAAGTAAGAGCAATTCATGCCACCGTGTTTTGGCTCTGGATTTGAACAATTTCTCGTTCTTTCCATCGTACCATTACCGCAACTTTTACTACACAAACTGAAGTTAGACCACGATGAATAATTACCATTTATTGGACATGGAAAAGTGTTGCAGTTTCTAATTTCTATCGCTGAACCAAGCAGCGAACAATCCTCTCCATTATCTGGAGGTGGATTAGTGCACGTTCTTGTTCGTTTCATTTTACCACCAGCACAGCTTTTGCTACAAGCACTAAACTTTGACCATGAAGAATAGTTTCCATCAACCCGGCACAGATCAATATTGCAAACTTTAAAGTTGATTGTATATCCATCACACTCTTTTCCGCCATACATAGGAATAGGATTACTACAGGATCGCGTTCTGTTTTTAATTCCAACTCCGCATGACCTACTACATTCACCCCATCTCGTCCACTCGGTAAATCCACCATTTATTGGGCAATGTTGAGTATTGCATACCCTTGTCTCTACATGTGCTCCCAAACTCGAGCAATTCTTTCCTCCATGGCTCGGCTCGGGATTAGAACATTTTCTAGACCTCTTTTGAATACCCTTATCGCATGTTCTTGTACATTTGCTGAACGTTGACCATTCGCTAAAGCTCCCGTGAGTCGGGCAAAAAGTATTGTTGCAAATCGAAATTTCTATATTTGATCCTAAATGCGCACAGTCCCTCCCACCATATTTAGGTTGTGGACGGGAACAACTTCGAGTTCGATGTCTCGTTCCATTTCCACAAGAAACTGTACATCGTGAAAACTCCGTCCACTCACTGTACCCTCCATCTATAGGACAAGGTTGTGTATTGCAGTTTTTAACTTCGATCGTCAATCCTAGACTAGAACAATTTCTACCACCGAGTCCAGTCTCCGGGTTTGAACAAGTCCTACTTCTTTTCTTGATTCCGCCACCACAGGTCTTGCTACAATTGTTAAAGACTGACCATTGTGAATAGTTTTCGTCCAGCGGACATTCCCGTAAAAAGCATGACTTTACTTCCTCGGAGGGTCCAATAAAAGAACAGTTGTGTTGATCACGATTTGTTGGTAATGGTAGGCTAGAGTTCCTTGTCCGTTTCATCGTACCATTACCACAAGATACTGAACAAGGGCTAAAATCAGACCACTCACTGTAATTTTTATCCACTAGAAGGAAGAAGAGAGAATTACGTTAATTTTGCACGAGAAATCTACAAATTTCTTTGAGATAATTTGATTTTATCAACTGAGTTGATAACGTAAACTGGCCACAGTGAAGAGTGTCTGAAGCTGTTACGAAAGTCTAACGCTCGAAACGTTAGCTATAGAAACTGTTTATGGTGGCCAGTTTACATTATCAACCTTGAGGATAAAAACAAACTATCCTGCAATACTCTTCTACAGACGCAACACCTCATTGTTTTTAGAAACTTACTCTCTTAACTAAAAAGTCATAAAACCTGTTTACACTACAAGTTGTCTAAAGGCTATAGAGAATGGATTAATCTTATAATTTTGTTACTCTAACTTTGTAACGTGATGAGCCTTTAACAGAAATCCAAAGTGAAACAGCCACATTAAAAGCAATAATAAAAAAAATCCACCAAAAGACAGGAGACACCGAAAACTCGTAATGATCAGTAAAACGCACAAACGGCTTTATACGTTTAAGATGTTTGCTCAGTTTTTTATTCGGTTAATCAATTGTTTGTTATCTATTTATTCACTTAGTTATATATCTGCCTAGTTATTCGTTGATATATTTTGTGAACAAATCAGTTAACGATGATAATAGGACTAAGTGGACTCCAATTCGGTCTGCAATCATGCGAGTGATTAACAAATGATAAATTAATCAAAGGGCTCTGTGAGCAAACTCGTGAATTGACAGATGACTTACATGATTTTGCATTATGTTTAATGTGTCTGGTTTAGGGAATTTTGTGGTTGATTGTCATATTTAGAGTACGAGCAGTAGTTCAGTGTTCGCTAATGTAGCAAAGAAACAAAGTAACGTTGGGATAAGAAGGCATTACCATTGCAATGATCATGCTATTACATTTGACAAGGTGGATGATGTCGTGTTTTAAACATATATCATTTTTGTTTCTGATTCAAAAGAAAAGGTTGGAAGTAAATGTGGGTGAAAAGTGAAATTGACTGTCTATCATTGTAAATATTGGAAAATCAAGGCAATACTGTCTTAAGGAAAACGTTGATGATTCCCTCTTTATCAAATGAGACAAACGAGAACGAGTTTTAAGTGATATAACTGAGCCCAGACTGCCACCGTCATTTTGGATTTCCGCCTGGGTAGATTTTGGTCACTTGCTAGGCAACGTATAATTGAGAACAAAATAGAATTTCATTTCAGGCCTATTTATTAATTTTGTGGTGTATAACTTTCGCATTTTAGTACGTAATATTTATTTTGAATCTTCAAATTGTCTTGAAACTTATATTAAAAGAAAATTTTTCTTTAAAAATTCACTGAAAATCGGTAGCCAAAATTATTTGTTTAGGTGTTATTTGATTTTCGTGTTAACCTGTAATTTCTTCAGTCGCCGGCACCTTTGTTGCTTCACACAGAAAAAACACACGATACGAAATGTAATGATCGATTTTGTCCCCAATCTCACGCCATAACAGAAAAAGCTTTTGAACACCTGTAAGCTCCGAGCGCTTCGGAGTAAGTGATATTTGTAATGAATCTTCGGATTGTTTTCAAGTTCAAGGGTTGTAAATTACAATTTTATGAAAAACGAAGGTTGTTCTCTTATTTCAGTGTGAATCCTAGCACGCCTGCCAGTCGCTGGCGCCGCTTGTTGAGACTAAAACGAAAAAAAACAAACTCTTTTAAGATAATCATTGGCTTCTTTTTCACCCCACCACTATTCTTAGCAACAAAGGTCGCCATTTCGTTTGTTTATTACTCGCCAAAAACTATCAAATGCATTCAAAAGCCTAAAATCGAAAAAAGTTTACAGGAATCGACCAATCGAGCGAGCGAGCGAGTGCCATTCTCCACATCATATCTACAACTCGCTCTTGCGCATGCGCGCAATTCACGAGTTAAAAATGAAGTTGTGAATGCACCAATGATATTTGAGGAATTTGTAATGGTTATGATTAACAGCGTTAGAAATTGATGTTCGATGTGATGCAACTAATCATGGTTTGTTGAGATCTTCTTGGAAAGGTGGATTACTCATGTGATGATTCCATAAAGTCTAATCAAGGTTTTATAAGCCAACGCTACAGAGAATTACAACTGAATGGAAATGAAAAAGCAGACTGTCTGGCTAAAATGCATGAGGTATTAACAACGTTGAGGTACTCCTGAGCGTGCTATTGGATTCACTGGTATTGGTCTTGAGATAACTTTTTTATTGGTCAGGTAGAACTGTTGGATGTATCAACGGGCTTTACCAAGTAAAATATATGACATTAATTAAATCATTGTCAGTGTTAACCTTCTTGAAAGAGTGGGTTACTTCCACTTATGTTATGGTGCTGTTGGTTGATTTTGCACACAGTTTAATCAAGGTTTCATGCGCCAACGTTCGTGATTATTACAAATAAATATAAAATGATATTTAGACTGTCTGGTTAAAGAGAATGAAGTTTTAAAAAAGTCAAAGTACTCTTTAGTGTGTAATAGCAATAATTTTCTAAGTGACGATGAAGTAAAACATATGCAGCCCTGATTATAGACTGTTATAACCATCCAGGTAAAAATTAAATTAGTCCGTTTTCTTTTTTTTTTTTTTTTAGGGAGGGAGGGAAGGGGGGGGGGGCAAATCTACCCAGTGGATTCACAAATTTTTTTTGTTTGAGTTGAGAGGCATCTCTTTTAACGACGAAGAAATTGATCTTCACGAGTAAAAACAAAACAAAACAACTCAGCAGTGGTCTATTCAGCATTTGTTGAATTAAAAACTTCTACAGTTATGCATTCACCTGCCTCCCACACCATTTACACGTTTAAATACAGAAACGCAAACTTTCATTAAATTCACATTGGAAGCTAACAAGTACAAACATCTTTACCGAACAACCCCAGCGGGAAGGTTTTGTAAACTAAAGAAGTTTATTTGGATAATTTTTCATTAAGATGGTGAACGAAACAAAAGGGCGCACTAACCTGAGCGAATTCTGAACACCTTGCACAGTAGGTCATCTGACACAGTGTGGTTCCAAATGGCAAATTCGTCAACCATCAATTTCATATGACTTTTTTTCGCATGGCTTGCTCCTAAAGTAAGTCTCGATGGTTTATTGTCCTCCAAAGGCGTAGCCTTTTTACTTTTGTTTACGACCTTGGCTAAAGTGCAATTAAAATAAATCCTCAAACTACCGGCTCTATTGTCCCATTTGAGTGCAATGTGATTCCAGTTGTCGTTCTTCCATTCTAGCATCCAGTAGTACTTGCGATCTAAAGTGTTAGTGCTGAATCCTATGTTCTTTCTCAGACTCCTTTGCGTCCAAATCGTTAAACCTCGCGAAAAACGATGCTGTCCTAATTGTAGAATAATTCTGTTGTTTTGGAAACCTTGAATTTTGAGCCAGAGAGCGATTGTAAACCCTGATCGACATGTCTCAGGGTGATTAATGCACAAACTTGGTAACACGCCAAAGTCTACCCAAGAACTATTGCCCGAGATCTCCAGAGCAGCACCAACGATACCAGAGATGATATTAAAGCTTCCCCTTAAGCGGCCGTCGTTATAACCGGTATAATCGATGACGCTTCTGTTGGAGATTTCTTCAAAAGGCCAGTAATGCACGGTATTTTTGTACAATTCAGTGGCTTTGAGGGATATCAAGGAAAACAAAAAGTTCAGCGAAGGTAAGATTTTCATCTTCCTCGGTCAAGCAACGCTATCAACTATACTATGCTCAAGAAAAACCTTTCGACACTCAGAGCTAAATTATTTAAACAGACTTCCGTATTGTTATGCAAATAAAAGATATTGCTATTATGGAGGCTCATCGACAGGTTCAGTTGAGAAGGAAATGCTTTATTTTCATTACTTTCACAGTTTTTCTAGAGCTTTCTGAAAATAGTCTTCAATTCGCTTCTCTCAAATTTGTTTGCTAAAAAAACAGTTGTAACGAAGTTTCTGTCAGCGTTCGACAATTTAAAACATCCGAACTTTGAAATTTACGTGCACTCTTTCTTGTATATGTAAACTTTTAATAACGTTGTGGTTACAGGTGCAGCTATTTATACAAACAAGGCAAACGTTACTGTAGGAGCCACTCTCGGCTCACTTTAAGTCGAGAAACGCGCACTTTTTCGAAACAACAGTTCTCGCTTTAACCCTAGCAATACTTTCTCTGTATTACATGGGTAAGGAAGGTTTAAGATCAATTTTTAAGCAACTTAAACGGCATAAGAAACATAACTGTATAACAGAGAGAGAAAAGACCCCCAACTGACAAAAACTACGCTTTGTTTTATTATCACGCGGAAGTATGAAGATCTCAAGGTTTTGTTTTGGCGCCAGTATGAAATTAAACAGGACTTTTAAATTTTCATTTTTTCTATTTATGATTTGTTATCCGCCTGCTTGTAATTGGGTTGCTGGAACATATGCAAACTTTTTAAACTTCTTCGTTATATAATAAGATGAAATTAATTAAAGATCTTCTCGTTTCGTTTAGAAACAGGAATTATTCTCTTTGAACATTTCAGAAACATACCCAGCTAGTCTTGTAGCGACGAATTTGATATAGTAGCTTGTAAATCGAGATTTGAAGCGTTTGAGCATGATAACATGACTTTTATATCTTTGCTACGAGATTCCCTATTGAGTTTAGATAAAGCATGGCTTTATATAACGAATGTAAAATGATTATTCAGTGACAGTAGTCACACTTCCCTGGAGTGTGCTTGGGATGAAAACTCGCTTACAGCGGCAGTCAAAGTGATTCATTCTAGAGAGTTTAGACAACCGTTAAAAGTATTCTGCGTCGAATCCAAAGGAAGAGCTAAAACCATCCCACATACTTCTATGTCTATTTTTCAGTATACAATTATGCCATGTGAAATGAATTAAAGAAAACCGATAGTAGGAATCATGGTCGACAAAATTCAGACAATCTTTTGCGTGCTTTACGCCCAAAATAATGAACTTTACAGATTCACCTAAATTTTTAATAATTCATCGTCAGTATGTTTCGCTTTGTAAAACAAAAACAGGAAAATTGCGCAGTTGAAGTTCAAACATTAGTGAAGCCTGATTATTTCTAGAGGTGCAAAAATGACATTTATTTGCATTCATGATGTATTGTTAACGGAATTGGGCTGGGCAAATATACATCTTTTGGTGACAACAAGAAATTAGATTTTGGGCAAGGGTGCGAATTTTAGAATTTAAAGAGCTGAATTATTCAAAAAGCCTGACGAGATAATTTTCTAGGGTAAATTCATTCGCCTCGGTATGTTCATTCAAATAAAACTTAATCTTGTGAAACCGAGGATTTTCGTGGCAGAGAATAGCATTGAATGATTTGTAGACTCAAAGATTAAATTGTACAGTAAGATGTTTGCAATTGTCTGTCAAAAAAGAGCCGACGATTCTTATTGTTCAAACAAGATGAGAAAAACCGCGAAAATTATATTTGTTGATGTGAAAGATGATTTCAAAATTCATACCTTCAGCTGTGTTATTTTTCCCATTTTCTTATATTTTATTTTGAAAAAACGCCTGGTAAACTTATCCAAGCTTCTAGATTTAACTAAAATCGTTTCATTGGAACAATACGTATGTGCCATGGATATCGCGCAGAAATTTTCAGAATAACTTATATTTTCGACACAGGTTAGAAATGGAAAGAATTGAGAGAAGGCAGTTAATGTTCGTTGACGATATTTTTACAGAGTTTCCAAAAATACTCGACAATGTTCTTCAGATAATTCTTTCATCTAAATCACAGATAAATTGCTAAAAATAACATAAAAAGATAGAACATGATTTTCTTCTGATACTAGACTGAATTTTCAACATATGCCTGTCGTTACAGACCACGATAAGATGAAATTTTATCATTTTCTTTATTCAATAATGCAGATTGCTATCGGACTGCGAGTAAAGATAATCTTATGCGTCCCTGATAATTCTCTGAGCAAATATCGATAAGTAAAAAGTTTTTCTGATGAACGTAGCTATGAAGGAGATAATAAAAATGGCATTTGCTGTCTCTTTTTCAACAATGAATTTTCGTCAACGTCATTCGCTTGCTCTGTCATCAATTTTTTTTTTCACAAGACTTTGACCATCTTATTGGCACAAATCTGTCTGAAGTGCCATTCTTTCTTTTCTTTAATATGCAAAAATGGCCACAATAACGTGAGCAAAAACGTTTCACTTAGGCACAAGCCCTCTCCACGCAACAACGGTCACTGTCGACATAGAGGGGATAAATTGTCAACTGAAACTGGCTGGAGCTTTCAGGAAAAACTCTTCTAAGGTCATAGATATTGCGCTTTGATGTGGAATGAATATCTGTAAAAAATTCATTTTTATTTCTCTTGCTCTTTGCTCTCTGGCGGAATGATAGGGCTGTGCTGCATGTGATCAAGGCACTGTTAACAGATAACATGTGGACCAGGACTGTTTGTCCCGTTTTCAGAGAAGGAACACCGTTGGCGAGTTCATTCGGCGGCGTGTTTTAAAGTTGGTTCTATAGTGTGGATTTTTTAGCCTTCATTTGTTAATGTTCATCTTTAATTTCTATAAAAACGATCGCCTTCGGGTCTTTTCAAACTTACGCAGTTTTAAGATAATTTCAGCACATACTGGGTAACCTGTGGAACTTTTCATTTTGAAGCATTTTGTCGCCGCTACACTGATTCAGACGTATTCAGTACGCAGTGTGCTTTGAAAGCCCTCATGAATATTTGAATTTTTGATAATTGCATTTTAAATTGAATACCTGATTTACAGCACAACCGTGTACTCGTTTAAACGAGGAACGGCTGGTAGTTCAGCAAAAAGAGGAATTTTTCAGCTTAAGGTTTAGGATTTTTTACTTCCAACCACCGATGAATGACCATTTTTGATCCATTAACCCTTTACCTCTCACTTACTTGGCTAAATGATACACAAAGAAAATGAATAAACATGTATGTTCAGTTCTTTTTGTTCGATTCCCCTCGCAACATGACATATCGAAACTTTGGTCTCCGCTTGATTAAACTGTACACACGGGAGCAGGAATTGCTGTATTCGTACATTCGTTATCGTGTTCGCTAATCATAAAGTGTACTCGAGTAACATCTATTTACGCAAAGGTTAGTGCGTATGTGCATGCTTTTAACGCGCCTCTGTTTACAAACTCTTTGAAATTTTTTTCCGCGGAAATAAAAAGTATTGTTCTTGGGGGATTCGTGCAGGAAACTGATTGAAGTCAAATTATGTTAAGTATTAATATCACTAACATCACAGTTATACAATTTTCTTCACGCTAACTTTGCGTTTTATGATATCGCGCTTTGTTTAGTATTTTCTGTAATTGCATTCAAACATACAATAATATCAAATGTCTTTGCTTTTGGTTAAATTTCCATTGACTCGAAAAGAACTTTGCTGAGCCGGAGTATTTGCCTTAAAACAGTTTTAAATAGTCTTTCGTGAAAACTTAAATGCAAAATTAAAATTAATTTAAAGTTTCACTTTTGCAAATCATTAATCCATAATTATACTGTTTTATTCTAAGGTCTCTCTACATAAACTTTAGTAAGAGAATTATCTACGAGAAGAAGACGTCGTATGAAATAAAAATGTTTAAGAAATAGAAAAATAAGCTGTCGTCTTCACCTGTTTTGACATAGCTGGAGTTTAGATTAGCGCGTATACAAATAAAGTCACTCCAGACAGGTTTATCACTGTTCCTGCTAAAAATTTTCGGTGTAATTTGAAGTATTTTATTGTTATGCGGTAGACGTCCAATAGACGAGAGCGAAAAACCTTTCATGTTGCCTATATTTCGTAAATTGCATAGAATTCTGATGATTTTCTTTCATTGGTCCACGCTTTTTCAAGTTTAAACACCGTTGTGTCTTATGTTATGTCTTGTTGTTGAAAGTAAACTTAAATTAGTACCTTGTAACTTATGTGGCTTGCTTCCATCGCTCGCGATCTAAAAGAGAGAGAAAAAAAACATGTAAGAATGACTCATTGAAACGTGTAGTTATTTCCCGTAGCTTCCATTGGCTACGTACAGTGGAGATCATCAGCCATTAGCAGTGTGTGTATACAATATTTTATGATTTCAGTTTTAAAAGTTACGAATATCTTTACGTTCTCTCGAGCGGCTACCTGTTGGATGCAAACCTTGAGGATTTGAAGAACCACAATCAATAATGCTCGCATGAGAATCCGAAGCAATAGCGTGCTCAACTCAGGGATTAGATTCTTAGCTTTTCATATGATAATGAAATTCGTAAAAGGAAGTTTTTCTTCTCTTAAGCACACGCGATCGGAAATATAATCTTATCAGTACGAAATTAATTTTTTTGTTGTTAACGGATACTCTAGCAAAACTTCATTCCATGTGTTAAACAAGTTTGAAAGACCTAGCAAACGAATAATTTATATCAGTTAACCATGAATACGATTGGCTAAGCTCGAGTCCGATAAGCACTATTTCCACTATAAAAGCAGCAGCTGCTTTGTCTAAATAAAACGTATTATCAAGCCTTTGGGCAATTATGTAGCTAAAATATAGCCTCGAACGGACCCAAGAGAAACATTAGCAAAAATTTGCATTTAAAGGGTATTTCGCAAACAATTATCATATTTTCGTGGAAGTAAAATATTTAAAAGCTTTGACTGTGAAAGCGAGATTATGTTTTTTTGCGTTCACCATTATTGATTGAAAATGTTGCTGGGTAACAATTTCTCCTATTAAAACTTCGAGGTGGAAATGATCCTTGAGAGGTATAATCGTTGAAGATTTTTTTCACAAATTAATTCGTGTTTTAACGTTCTAAATCCCTGAGCGATATTAGATATTGCAAAATTGGTGTGTTAACAGTCTTAATCGCAAGGCTATTAGCTCTCTTGTTTTGACTACCGTTTAACCATCATAAACATTATCCATACGGAAATGAATTAAAAAACAAAAACTTCTTGGTGGCCGCAGATAAAATTTTTCCGTGTTCAACGCCGATAGATCCTCAAGCAGTTAGTCGAAATAATAAATTAATAAATTACACCACCGACCATTTGAATAATCTCCAATTTCCTAGTTTGGTCGCCTCGCCGAGTTAGAAATTACCCATTCTTTAGCTTCAACACCTACCCTTATCCACACAATGATGCAATTTTTGTTTATTATTTTGTGATCGATTTGCAAATATTAGTTATAACTAATCCTTTTCCTGTCACGCTCCACTCGAATCAGACTCAGCAACACTAATTACATTCAAGTTTAACATTTAGAGTAAATTTATTATGCATAACAACTCTTGAGCGATAAGCTGACAATAATGGTCTCAGGATAAATCAGCGACTTTACTTATTTGATACTGAGGACTAGTGCGACTTTTAAAGCGAAGATAGGACCAATGGTTTATGCTCAGGGATGAAAGGTATCCGTCTTTGAAAAAAGGAGGTGAAAATGAGTAAATCCATAGTAGATAAAAGTTAAGTAACTCACTCAAGTAAGAAACATTTGAGGACAATAACAAATCTCACCAATGGCTTGCATCGGTCTTGAGTCAGTGGAAGGAAGTTGTAAAATGCAGAAAACAAATTCCATGTACAAAACATAAAAGAACGACGGGAAGGCTTTAGTTGAATTAAGATTCGTCGCCAAAAATAAATAACTTTTGATATCAGAGAATTAGTCTGTCACAACAGTACTGATAACAATGAGAGCTGATAATGGAGATATTCTGCACTCAAGCGTTATTCTCGTGTAATTAGTCATTGGAAAGGGTCCTGCTTGCGGCCGCAAAAAAGAATTTACTACTGTAGGTAATATTTTTGGGCGCTACCGTAATTACTCCACAGATGCTTTTAAAGTGTGACACATTTGTTACAGTGTATAACCGTTCTGCTTAGCTCTGTCATTTTAGAATTGAATTAAGCAAAAAAAAAAAAAAAAAAAAAAAGGTAAAAACAACGAACTCATTCAAGATGGCTTTTAATTTTCACAGCTGTAGGTTTCCTGAGTATATGAGCTGTATGGAACTCATTCTTTTGAAAACAAACTAATTATTTGAATAAAGCTGTCAGTTCTCCTGCAGGAGAGCTGGACGACGAATCTATAACGCTAAAATCTCTTTCGACTTTATTTTTTGGAGGGTGAAGAACGCTTCAAATTCAAAATCTTCCAAAATATTAAAAACAAATTTCCATTCTTTTTTTACTCTCACGTTTTTCTCTAACTAAAAAATCTCTTTCCCTTTATTAATAACCAGAATAAAACCGATTTTGGAAAAGCAACAGATCCTGCCAATTGCATAATTAGAGGTAACAAAAGAAAACTATATATTGGGATTTCTCCAGAACATTAAATTAAAAAAAGATTTTTCGATTGGAAATACGGACAGAAGAACTGAGATCAATTGATGGCCAAAATACAACCTGATATAAGTTTAATGTGGTTAACGTTGAAATGAAATTTTGTTGAGAACTTATTTTAAACGCCGCAACATATCACGAACACTGGAGATTTAAATATTAATTGTTTCAATAAATAATACTCTTAACGGTTGCAAAATTAAATTAAATTTGTCAAGTCCACGCAAAAATTTGAAGCTGAGTGTTGTGAGAAACAGTTGAAGGATTCTGTTAGACTTCTAGTGAGGGTATCGGCGAAGACAGAAGACTTATTTGTCCTCGGTTACCGCCGTTACATTACTGATTAAAAATTTCAAGCATATTGTATACTTTTTCATTTTGATGGGCTATGCAGTTTTATGTACGGGAAAACGTAAAAATTTGTGCACAAGTTCTTTGCTGACTAACATGGAATTTGGAAATTACAATTCAATCCTGATTTCAACTTACTCTTTCTGAAGACCAGGCGAGATGCGTGAAATAGGTTATACACAAAACGTAGCGCTGAAATCTTAGCATCATCTTCGTCGGACCACCTCAGCGTGGAGGTTTCCCCTAGGATTCTCTTTTTCAAAAACTTACGCGAAGCTTGATAAATTGCCAAAAATACAAGCTCTGTTACTTTGAAGTGCCGTCTTAATACTTCAGATGGGAAAAATCTTCTAAGAATTGGGCGAAGGAACAAGATTGTCCACGTATGAACATAGGAGGACTTTCCATTTCCTTCAACGGCACAGCTGAAATGATTCACTGTTCGTGAGGGGCCTAATGCGACTGGAAGAGACACACATCGCTTTGAAACCGCCCGAAAATGCAAAAATTAAATACTTTGTTTTAAGCCTGTGCAATGTTTGTAAATCTTGACATCACGATCCAATCGCGTAGAGGCGTTTTAAATTTGACACCAAAATCTGTCACCTAAATTGGTCTATTTTATCGCTTTAATGTTACGACTTTATTATCGCCAGTCTTGTGTAAATAAGATAAAACAGTTAAAATGTATTCAATGTGCAAACGGAGCCAGCGAATGTTCCAGTTATCGCCCCAGACACATCAATGACAATTTCCTATTAGTAAACAAAATGAATATTACAGCTAGAAATACTGGAAAGAAAGAAATATTTAGAATAAAATAACATTTACAATGACAAACACATTGCAGTGTCTGTTGCTGACGCTTCCAAAACCACAGTTTATTAGCTGTAAACCTTCTCTCGAAGTTACACTCACACAGAGAAAAAGCGAGAAAGATAAAGTTTTCCGGTAAGGAAAGATAAGTTCCGCACACTTCCTGCATAAGATACACGCGGGAGCAGGCTTCTTCTATCAATAATTAATGTCCACATGCTAAAATTAACCCAACCAGCAAGGTGAAGTTGTTTTCAAGGTTTTTACTTTGAAAATGGGGATGAAAATAGCTTTGAATCCTAACATTAACGGCGATTTGGTAGAGGTTATTCGTCAGAGAAACCGCAAAAATATGGATTTAACACGAGTTTCAGAGGACAAATGATATTACTTATTTTTATATGTACATGACATTAACAAAAGCAAGAAATAATTTGTTGCCCTCTTAGAAAGATGAATCTTGATAAATATTGCGAAGAAAAATATGGATCGAAAATTCTCCAGAAACCCACAATTTCGAGTTGGTAACATTCTGGAAAGTTCTTTTTCTTCTAAAATTCATTCAAAATCATATCTATATGGAAATTTTTTTTTAGATATCCTAATAAATTTCTGTCTTATTTCTATTAATACTTGTCAACTTGTCGGTCTGTTTAAGAAGACTGTTCCAGACCAAAAAAATACTTTCCCGCCTGTATCGAGATAAATTGATATTTTCTTAAAAGGAATCTCATATTTCCCCCTGTTTCATCTAGTTTTGATATTCTTCATTCTCATTACGTTTGCGAGAGCTTTTTTCGTGAGGGGCTTTCGGTGAAACTCTCAATGGAGCCGTTCTGTCTCATTAAAAATGTTTAAGAACACTTTACCCAAAAAATTTCATCATTCTATTGCTGTGGGCTATGTCTGGGCTAGATATGGAAATAACCGAATGGCCAGGTTCCTTGAAAACACGGCTAGTTGGCAATACGTGACTGCGAAAATGCAAACTCCCGAGTGCTTTAATTCTTGTCTATCATGTCATACATGCAGCTTTTAAAGTCATCATTGCATCGCCTTGGAAATGACTCGATGATAAATAACTACCTGCTGTTGAATGAGTTAGGTTTCATAAAAAATTAAACGTGTAATAATGCGCTCTAATTGATTGTTTTGAAGTTTCTGGGCTTTATATTATGCGGTTAATAGTTTGAAAATACTGTTGCCCTTCAAAAAAACTATAGCAGAATATTGAATAAGTTTCCAACCAAACGCTGTAAAAATTCTATTTTTTTATTTTTCCAAATTAAATTCATCTGATAACAAAAACAAAACAGTAAAAATGAATGATCTTAATTATTTCCATAAAGGATTCATTTCTTTCTTTAGTTCTCCAATTGGTCCATTTGTTAACGTATATGAAAGGTGTTCGTTCTTAAGTAAATATATTTCTACCTTCATTTTAAGTCGACAAAGTTGCTATCAGATATCTATTTAATAATTCAAAGAGAGTATTTTTCGAAGAAACTAGAAAACTACCCGCCGGCTTAATGATTCATCGACACCATCTTTAAAATCTATCATTATTTCCTTTCCATGACAATACTTCGATCTGTTTATGCCGATTGCAATTGCAGTCGATTCAGCTAAAATGTGCGGTGGATTCTATAGAGTTTCCGTTCCAAATGAGTCGATTAATAAGTCTAACGGTACAAGTTTCACAATTTCCTTATGCAAATAGAGCCTGTTATGCCGTGAATGGTTGTTAATTATTTTTCTTATGTCTACACGAATGCGGCTGTGGTTAACGTAAACATCACATACCTGATGAAGATAGCATCTGGAAACCTCAAAGTGCGAAATAAGTCTGTAGAAAGAATCTACTTAATTATGCGCTAGCCTTGAGAGAATTATCGATCATTTCCGTTGAGAAAAAACTGCGTAAATGTCTCGTACCTGTAAATTATCAATTTTGATGGATGGCCGAAGATGCATGTGACAAAACTGGGTAAATACAAATAAGATTACAATAAAAAAAGAAAAAAACTTCAAAACTTAAATATCAGGCATGGAATTGTATGTTGCAAACATTATGAAGATACGATCGCTATTTCAAGAACGGGATATTTTCCTTCGGGCACACTTATGAATTATCGACGTCTTGGGACATAACAGTTGTAACCTCAACAACATGAATTTTCTCGAAAAAGAGAGGAGGACCCTTTAAAGGTGAGCTTTGTCTGGCAAATTTGTCATAGAAAAAATAGTTCTCTTCGGGCAATATCATACCACAGCAATTCCCCGCATTTTTCTTTGCTTTGTACAAAAAAAAAAAAAAAAAAAAAAAGCTAAATGGAAAAGATTAATGTCAGATCTCCAAACCCATATGCAGCACTTCGTGAGAGACATAAGCAGTAAAATGGTTGCAATGAACCAATCATCAAAATAACGACGGACGGTAAGGATTAGAGTGGAAGTTTCTAGGCCTTTAAAGAAATTATGACGCCTAAAGAAATGGAAAAGAATACAGTCATCAAGGTAAATGGAAAGTTGGAAAGTATGTGTGGAACTTTAATACCCGGCTTTTAGGACCTCATTGAATAAGATTAACGTCTCCGTTAAGCCGAAGCTCTTCCAATTCTCGATTCCATCATGCATTGATCGACAAACTAAGAGGGCGTAAGAAAGCCCTGCGGTCTCCATCTGACATGTCTGAAAACTCGACCAGCATTTAGCCTCAACTATCCTGTCATACAAATAGCACCTTTGATAAATGGCTCATTTACGGCAACAATGCAGTAAAAAGGAAAACGTTGTTAATTATTCAAGTTTTATCAACCCGTAATTCTTGTATGCTACACATATCAAACATATATCTATTTTACAAAATCTGCGAAAACAGGCCGTGGCCGCGAAGATCTTGGTGATGTACCGGTTATTAGGTGTATTCTATGCTACTAAAAAAGGCCTTTATCTTTTTGCCCAACATTCATGATATCAGTGCTTTTCATGAAAGAAAAAACATCTCAAACTTGTAATTGCCTCAGGATTCTGCGTAGCTTTTCTCTTAAGAATCAAAGTCGAATGACAATTTTACTCTAAAATACTAGAGTACTTCAAACTTTACTTAATGCCAACACCTGAAGCATGGAAGGAAGCCTGATGGCTTTATACAACCAAATTATCATCCACGAGGTCAAAAAAAAAGAAAAAACCTAGAAGTGGACATCACAAAGTGGCTGTTCTCGTCCATTATCTTGAAGAAAAGGAATTTGGAGCGCTGTTTTTTTTTTGGAGGAAGGTCGAAAATTCCGATACGACGCCAAGCTCAGAAATGAACCTATACCTCAGCGGTAGTGATTGTGCTCATCGCTAGCCCATTCCCGCTAACTTAAAGTACTTGACATGCGATCCTTGTGAGCTATAGGGAAATAAACTTAGCTCAGTAAGTTAGGTTTATTTCGGTGATCATTCGCGATGAACTTGACCATATAAAGAATTAGGGGGTTATTTGTTAGCGCCAGGAACATAAATATAGCATACCGTATCCAAATACCACGAAAGCACTATGACAACTATGCCAAAGACTGCCATGTGGGTATCAAATCCAACATCGAGCTTGACAGCCGCAAGAAAATGGTGTTCACACGCAAAAAGCGATTTCTTTCCAGGTATTTCCCCACATCCTATCACCTGTACCTTGTCCCCGTTCTTTTAATGGTAACGGCAGAATTTACAATTCATATAGCCACCTGCAAAAAAATCATGTTTTAGCCTTTTAGGCTACTAATTGGTAAGTTTATGAAAAAGAGCTCTCTGGATGTCAACGAGATTACGGTGACAATGAGACCGAAATTAGGCAAATGGAAGACCAATAATATGAACGCATGACTAAAATTCCTTACTATGCTGTATACCCTGAGCATAATAAAACAGATTTATAGATCATGAAGAGATTGAAGCTGGTTGAATGCAATGAAGGGAAGTTTATGTTAAGTAAATTGCACATGAATAAAGCAATAGAAATACCACTTAGGCAACTCAGCAAGCAGCCATCCCCTTCTACCTTAAGTTAGGTAACAAGTGTGATCAAAACCCTGGAACGCTATTATATATATTAAGCTTTTATTTAAAGCAGTGTAATCCGAAGTCTGAGGTTTCGTATAATCATTTCTGTCATTTTTCACCATTTCTAACGGGTCATATTTCTTTTTCCTTCTCTCTATTTTTCTTTCTTTCGTCCTCCTTCTATTATTCAACGAGTGCACACCAGCTTGTGTTCATGCATGTAATAAAGGCAGACAGCAAACTGGTCACCGTGTCGTATTTCAATGAAACGCAACGCTGTTCAAACATATCGTCAAATTTCTATTTCGGGACTTTATTTAAGACTAACTGTGTCGATCTTCTGGGTTCTAAAAATATAGCCAATTCTCACGAGAAAAAAGAGTTGATTTTTAATATTTTTCTGTTTATTTTTTCCTTTTATAGAAAAAGCTTGAGCTAAGTTTATCTACAATTTTTCTCCTGCATGCTCTATAACGACGAATTCTAGTATGACTTGTTGTCATTCTTGGGGCCCCTTTTGATTGAATTCATGTATAGCTTTTCATAATGATAACTAATCAAAGAAGATGGCTACATTTATAATTTGTAATTTGTATAGAATAATTTTCGTCTAGAATTTATTCCAGATAACTCTTATAGGAACATGGATTCAGGGGTGCAACATCGTATGCCTTCATTTGTATCCTATGCCAAAAAGGGTTCGACGGAATATATTCAGTTCTGAAGTGACTTTGACAGCTTAGCTATTCATAAAATTTCTTTATGAGATAATGATTCCGTTCAAAGTCTAAGAAAAAACTCCCTACTATGAAATTCACTGAATCGTCTTACATAGCACTTAACTGCCGGACACAAAAAAGTCTCGTCATAACTGTGAGTTTGAAGGTTTACATGGCATTCTATAGTCAAATATTGTATTTTGAATATACTTAAATTGCATAAGGCAACAAATTATTTTCGGGTGGCAAGTAATCGATCTCCTTTCGCAGGCGAGAGATGGTTGCATTGCAGCGTGGATTAGTTTTTAAATCGTGCGACAATTTTCTCAAAAGCCGAACTTAAATGTTTGAAATTACTATGGTTACCTCGTTTCAACGTCGAACTAAGATCAAACTGTGTTTATCATTGTAAATGTCTTCTTTGATATCAGTTATGTTAAACAAACATAGCGAAGGTTTCTAGTTTACGGACACAATTTTTTATTTTCGTAATGATAAAGCATAACGATGATTGCATCTCCTGAAACATCACGAGTGGAAGACATACAAAATTACAATTTTTGTAGCACACTGGCTATATGTTATCTTAATTGTCTTACATGCACTCTTTAAAATGTGTGTTTAATCCATTCTCTCTGTTCACGATTTGGGCTTGCGTGAAAGACTTGGTAAACTGTTGGAATTCTGGTTTCAATACAAAATTCGTTCGGGATAGCTTATGTTTGTAGGAAATTTTTATAGAACAAACCGGCAGTTTTCTTTCATAAATTCCCATCGTGTAAACAGATGAAATAATATTTTTTCAAATTCAATATTCTAAGCATACCTTTCAGGTAGTTGAATATAATTTTGTCTATTGAAGCAAACCAAGTTTCTTCATACCAAACGTTTCGTATATTATAACTTGCGCGCATCACCATGTAGTACAAGTTTGTTTTCAAGAAATCCTCTTGTATCAACACACGGTACAGAGCATAAATAAGAGTTTGGAATAAATAAGAAGCTTATTTAAATTGTGTTTCTCACCTGAATAATACCCTTAAATCTCCTCTTGGTGACGTGTTTTCATCGTATTTGCATCTCTGTGAAAATAAAACGAAATTTGTTCAGCATATACGGTACACAGTCTGCGCGCATTTATTGGTATGTGGTAACCTGCAGTTCGCCGGGAAATTTAAAAGCGGTATCTTGAAGATATTTTCATGCTATTCTTACTAATTAGCCCACTTTATCGACCGATGTACACATTATGGAAACATGTGTCCAGGATTAAATAGAATCATCATCGACACCATATAGAAAGCTCATTAAAAATATATATTCATCGGACCACTGAAAATGAATTTTAAGGATTGGATTGTACACCATATCACCGAGATAAGTCAAATATTCCTAGCACAGGATTATAAGAGCGAACCATAGATTTAAGTCTGTTGATCCACCTCGTTGAACGCACTGGTCCGAAAAACCTACCAGTTAATCCGAGCCTTTCATTAATTAAAAAAAATTGTACTATCATACCGAGCATATTTGTAAAGAGGGAAATCAAAACATGGAAAAAACGAGAACAATTTCTTTTTCAGTATGAGCTTAAATGAATTGCCTAAAAACGAAGATGTTATTACAAGTACAATAATAAGTTGATTCAAATTTATTATTTAGGCCTCAAAAAAAGGTAAGCTTGTTGCACGACGATACTATTTTAATCTAGCTGGATAAAAGAGGGAGTAACTCTGAAATTAAAGCTCTATAGGATTGAAAAAATAATTTTGGAGTTTCCTTAAGTGTTTCCAATTCTACTCGAGAACATGTGTCAATGTTATGTAATAAAGATCTAAGTTATTTATGAATCTTGCGGTTTGTCTTCGTCTGTTATTAGCATGTAGCTTACTTCTTGTCACTAAAGGTAAACAGCGCGTCAAACGTTACAAAGTATTCCATCATATCTTTTCTTATTTGTACTAGAGATAAACCGCGTGCGAACAGCTATCTCCTTCTGAACGCGATGCGAAGAACTTGCTCATCAACCATACGAAAAAATAGTCTATTTATATTTCCATAACTGACATCTCTTAGTAGAATTAAATAACACAGAATATGAATATTAACAAGACGCTGCAGCTTAAAATGTCTTTTACTTGTGTTATTATTTTCAACTTTCACCAAAAATTTGTAGAAAAAAAGTGATATTGAAATGGAGGACAAATCATTGATCATGAAAAGCGAGGTTATATCTAAAGAGATTCAGAACATCTGAGAGCTGCATAGCAGGTAAGGCTTAAAATAAGGCTGAAAACAATCAAGTTCGTTACGCGGGACAATATGAGTGACCGAGTGCGACTGGGTTTCACTTTGCATCATATTGGTTGATGCATTGCGTGGTACGGGTTTTGCTTACCAATCACAATGCAATTTTAGGATTACTTCCTATTTATGAAAGATCTTGGTAATTCAGCCTCATAAAAGCAGATAGAATGTAATCTCGTTTTGTACTGCAACATTTTACACGCGTGTTTTTATTTTCTTAAATGTGCTAAGTGTTTAGATGGATCTCTTATCTCCCAGAAATTGTACCACTACATCGTGTTCCTCATATATTCACGGTATTTTGGTGGCCTACGTCTAAATGACGGAAATTTGGGTAAATGGACAAACATGGACTATCGGCAATTTAGAGGTTAAAGTCGAATATTAGAATCAAAACTATTTATTTTCGAACGCGAGTAGTCATCAGCAGCCTGATATGAAAAGCAACTGGGGCAATGTACACGTCATGCTTGTAATAGGACGACTTATAGGACAGTTTACATGTCATGTGATAGAATATCATTTACATGAGCTGCTTTTTAAGTTCATTTTCTAACCGAAAATGGTCCAATGCAATGCTTTTAGGCATGAAAAAGCTTAAACGCAGTACTCTGACTCTGCTAGTCACTGAAATGATCAGTATAGACTGAAATGATCGGATTCCTCTTGGTCCTATTATCATCACAAATCGAGATACTTGCAAGAGAGCTGGGTTATTTAATCTTCTCCACAAAATGTTTAATTAACTAAATGAATAACAAATTAAATGAGGAAAGACAGGCTTAAATGCACGACAGCAGTGAAATTCAAACAAGTTTAATAATCAGCATTTGATTATGTTAGCAGTAAGAAGCTTCACTAAACCAAAATTGAGCAAACAAGGAAAAGACAAAGTTGTTAAACAAGACTGTCACACAACATTATCATACAAAAAATTCGACGATATGATTTGCAACGCTTCAATTTTGATGCGCTTTCAGTAGATTTTTGTGAACTAGACGATTCACCTTACGAGACAAAATTGACTAGTAATTTGAAATAATTTCAAAAGAGAAATATCATCGTTTGTCTCACGATGCAGTCACTTCGTTTGAGGATCGCGACGTTTCGATTGCATATTGCTAGTCTTCTTCAGGCGATGAGGTCGACACATAAATGCTGTTGTGCTCAGCTATGATTGGATGGAGTTCCTCGGCTGCGATTGGTGTATGTTCTTATTTTAAAGTAATTACGCTTGAAAAGGAAGAAAGTACATATACAGCCTGAAAAAAAGCTGCCCTAATACAGCGGGAGGGAACAGAATTATTTCCGAATCCTTACACGATTTTATCAATGAGACCGACCTATCGAAAAATGAACCAAAAGAAAATACTATCAGTTTTGCGAAAGGCAAATGTATAAAAAGCAAGAGATAATGATAACAAGTGAATAAAGGGGTCAAATTTCTAAAGTAACAATAGTGTTGCGTCGATGGGGGGCTAACAAAATAATTTGGCTTTA